CCCTAAACACACATCCCTCCCCGCCCCCACCACTACAAATACAAGTAAAAACATTTCCGTGCTCCCTCACCAGCCCAACATCCAGTCAGTAAAGAGGGACTCCAGACACTTAAGCCAGTTATTCAACAAGCACTCCTGGCCGGTCTTAAAAAAAAAACAAACAAACCCCATCTTCCCAAAATCTGTCACCCACTTCTTGCTACAGAGTAGTCAACACCAGCCCAGTCACTATCTGGCTCTCCTGGATACCAGAGGAACAGGCTGCTGCAGATGAGTACCGACCGGCACAGCTGCCTCGGTCCCTCACCTCTTCTCACTGCTGGGCCTCTGACTCTCTTCATACTCCAATCCCACTGCTCACCTTACTATACTTGTAATGCTCTAACTGATATGTCCTTTAAATCTGATTACGAATCCCATTACTACTCCCGACACTCCTTACTTCCTTGATTCTGTGCTAAAGGATCTAGACACCTTCCTTTATATCCTACATCTCAACCTCTTAGTACCCTTTACAACACCCCCCACCACCACCACCACCACAGCAGATGGACTATGGGCCGTGAGTTATACCTCCAGGGAGAGTTCAGTAACTTCAATTTAAATCAGCTACAGTGTTTTACTTTTATTACCTGCATCCTCCTATTTGCCGAATATACTCCATAATGCTTGGGCTACTCCTTCTACTCATCCTTGCCACAAATACTCCCCACTCCTCAGTCCAGCCATCAAATCAACAGCTGGATCCCTTTCATAAACCTTACACAACAACTCCTAATCCAGTCACATTCTCCCCTGTCAACTAATTGCTGGATCTGTCTATCTACCCAAACTCAACAAACTCACTCACAGAATAGGATCTCACAGAATAGGATCCACCCTAGTTTGGCAAAACAACATCTGCTTCTCAGGCTCCCCATTCATCTGGAATAAACCTCCTCTTACCACCACCTCCAAACTAACAACCACAAACCCTCTCTGCAGATGGAGGTCACCATGTGACTTACAGAAATGAATGCCTCAGTGGAAATGCTCCGACCAGCCCTCCTGCCTTGCTTTTCTCTCTCTCAACACATCTTCCCAACTACAACTCATCACAGACAGCACCCACTTCTTCCTCTCACTCACAAACCAAAAACGGTTTTGTCTCTTCCCCCACCAGCATTCCCTACCAGCCCCTAATTGGCACCACCCTCTCCAGATCCTGCTCAGCCTGGGACCTAGAAAATTAACAAGTCTCACGGCTAGTGCTTTCCCTACAGCTTCTGTCTTACTACCCCAGGTGTCTGCTTCCTCTGTGGCTCTTCATCCTACCTCTCTCTGCCTTCCCTTTACCTGGCCTGGCACCTGTCCCTCAGTGTTCCAGCTCCCCACTGTTACCTGACTGCCAAACAACCAAACTATTCAGGTTCCCCTTCCTGCAACAGTTCTCTCTTCTACGGCCCGTCATAATTGGGCTGCTCCACTCTTCATTCCCTTACTGGCTACCCCTACAAATTTCCACAGCTCTAGGGACAGGAATAGCTGGTGTTAACACTGCCACAACCTATTTCCAATGATTTTCAAAAGCCCTCTCGACACTCTAGGTGAAATGGCCTCCATCCTTACCACCATTCAAAATCAAAGAAATCCACTGACAGAAATGGTTCTTCAAAATAGATGGGCTTTCGATATCCCAAATGCTGAGAAAGAAGGTACCTGTCTCTTCCTAGAGGGAGAATGTTGTTTTTTATGTGAACCAGTCTGGAATAGTCTGAGATACAGCAAAAAAACTACATAACAGGACATCTCAAATTAAACAACAGACACATCCTGGTCCCGATGGCTCCAGTGGGCCCCCTTTCTAACCCTGTTTCTAACTCCTCTTGTGCTTCTAGTTCTAGGCTTCACAATTGGATTTTTTATTCCAGATGTTCATCACATTCATCAAACAGACCATGGAATCCCATCACTGCCCAGCAGGTCAAGACGGTCCTCACACTTCAAGCCATCCAATACCAACGATTACCATCATGCCCCCTAAATGCTCCTAATGTTCAACGTCCTTAATCCGCTCAAAGAAAATATAGAAGAAAGAGACCCCGTTTGAACTCCCCTGTCCCTTCCTTCTTTTATATATATATATATATATAAAGGGAGGAATATTAGGCCTCATGGCTAGCTTAACATCAGCACAGTCACGTTAAGCAACTTCCCCCTTACTTCTCCCCCTCTTCTTTCCCTTTTCTGCTCTGGGAACTGAGCAGTGAAGTTCCTCTCCTGGGAAGGGGTAAACATGACCATTATCATCAAAGGAATGTCCTGTGGGCTGCAGTAGCCGGCTTTGGCCAGGAGCACTTTGCACTGATATAGGGGTGATACTAATTAGAAGCCTATGCCTTAGTGGACCACAAGGGCTGTGTCACCTTGCATACCACTGATTTCAAAATTGCCCATTACTCTGCCAGAACCCTGAAAGGCTTGTAAACCCCTGCTTTCCTTTGTTCAGGGGAACTGATTTGGCTCCGTCTCCCCTCCACGTTAGTGGAATAAAGCTGCTTGGCTGAAATGGCACCTGGCTCAGGTCTCTTTCTCCCTTTTCTGTCTTGCCCAATCTAACAGCACCTTTCCCTCTAAATCTTTAAAGATGCTATTCTCTCCTCCTAGGACATCATCACCATCATCTTGCTATAGCTAATTCCTCCTTTAATTCTGTTTTTTTTTTTTTTTTTTTTTTGTCTTTTGTCTTTTTTCCGTGTCCGACAACGGATCGCAACCCTCAGTGTTGCCCCCGTACCGGACCGGGGACTGGCAACGGGATCGCAACCCTCGGTGTTGCTCCCGTGCCTTGCTCAGCCAGTGAGCAGGAACCGGTCTGTATGTGGGATCCGAACCCTCGGGCGGGAGTGCCGCCGCGCTTCCCAAGCAGCGCACTATCCAGTGCGCCACCGGGCCGGCCCCTCCTTTAATTCTGTTTGCATGCCACTTCCTCCATAAGTTTTCTTGACTCTCCCACACTCGAAACACTAAAACTCATCTGGGTTAGTGCCCCACATGCTCCCCAAACATTCTGTACTCATAACTGTATAGTGTAACTTCCTTTAGGCCTTTATTAGACCTCAAAGTATAAGGAACGCTGAGCTCCTGTCTCCTGTTTACTACCAAAATACAGCAACTACCATAATGCCTGTCATATAGTTAGCATTCAATAGATATTTAGTACATCAGTGGTGGGTCCACAACTCTCTCATTTCAATAAAGTACAGGGATCAAGACCACAGCTCTGGAGTCAGACAGACATGGGTTCAAATCCTGCCTCTGATACTTTCTGAGATCTTGAGCACCTTTTTGGGCATCAGTTTCTTTATCTATTAAATGAGGATAAAAGTATCTACTTCATAGGATCATTGTGAAGATTAAAGGAGATAATCCATTCTCATTCCATAAATGTTTACTGAGCACTAGTGCTAGTCAACATGTTTCGATCATCTCTCTCACCAATCTCCTTCATGTATGGACATAAACTGACATAAACATAGTATAACTGCATATACTGACTAATAATGTATTATGCTTATATAAAACTTTTCTATTTACAAAACACTTCCACACATATTAACTCATTAAACACTCATAACAACTTTGTTAACTGATAAATGTGTTTTACACCCATTTATCCATCAATGACTCATGTGTCTCTTTTCTTTGTCTTTGCTTATGCTCAATTAATTTTTCAAATTTCCTCAAAAACAGCTCAAATGTCACCTCCTTCATGGACTTTTTCTTCATCCTTCAGCTAGACTGGAGTTCTCTCTTTCTCTCAACACAGCATACTCTCTAATGGCACTTATGATTCTGACTAGTATTAGTTAAGCATATATATTTGTCTTTCTCCCCTATTTAATTACTAACTTCTTACAAACAAAGACTACACCTTACTATAATTATATCCTATGCCATGTCACGCAGGGTATCTTCTAAAGAGTAGGCACTTAAAAATTATTTGCTAAATTAGAAATTGTTCAACTAGAAAAAAAATGAGACATGTTAAAAATTTTAAATAGCGTCAGTTTAGAAATGGATGTTTAATCACAAATACACTTTCATTCCATTAAGCTTGAATTAATGAGGGGAAACAATTTCAAAAGCCAAACAGAAAGATTAACTTAATAATAACAAACTAATAACAGAAATCCAGACTGTGGGTCTGTTTCTTTGCTTGTTATTTTAAAAATATTGATTTTCTAAAATAATAAATATCTCAATGGGATAATTCCCCCCTCCCAAATATATGCCCTTTCCTGAGGAAACATTTTACCAATAAATTTAATTTGCTACTTTTTGAAAAATCTTTTGGGGACTGGTAGGATACTCAGTTGGTTAGAGTGTGGCCTTGTAACACCAAGGTCAAGGGTTCGGATCCCTGTACCAGCCAGCCACCAAAAAATTTTTTTAAAAAAAGATCTTTTTATTTTCTTAATGTTATACATTTTTGATTGATATACTAGATACATGTATTTCCCAACTTTAGTAGATCGTTATGAGTAAAAGAGTGCATGACAAATAGTAGATTGCTCCGTAAATGTTAATTAAATCTATCTAAGTATGAAATATTTAAACAAGGTAACTGATTAAATCATCAACAGAGAATGCATCCAAATAATATTTCTGATGGATTTTCATATATCCATTCACATTTGCTTGCCTAATTTCCCTTATTACTAAACAGGATCTATGTAAGTGAAGTGGAAAAATTATAGAATCAGTCACAAAACAGAGTAATGCTGACCATCATAGGTAAACAGATTACCATAATGCTCAAACCAACCACAAACGTATATTTGAAAGCCAGTCTGTGTATAACAGAACAAGTAATATAAAACCAGGAAGTATTCAGAAAAGAGATTTTGGCCTTAAAAGCTACCAGAGACAGCAATTATTAGTCCTTTGTTCAGCTTCCAGTTCTTCAGTATGCCACCATATTTTAAAAAGAAAGAAAGAAAACACAAAGAATTTCTTACCCACTTTATCCACAGAAGGCATATTAAAACTTCTGAGCTCTGCTGGTCCAGACAGCCTACCAGAATTAGAATTAAATCTGTCTTGCCTTTGTGGAAGGAGAGCTGGATCAGAATATGGTTGGCCTAGAAAACAAGTTTTTAAAATATCTTTATAAATATAACCATAAATCAAGTTTTCTTAAGTTTCATATATTGAACTTAGACATTTCTCCTGTTTCCTATAAGACCCATATTCCTGCCAGACAATAGTAAACAATTTTAGAAAAATTATGTATTTTATTATAGACATAACTGCCTTTGTAGTAAACACAAGTATAATTTCCTACTTTGGATTTGAGAGATTCAATTGCTATGTGTAAACTAGAATATGTAAAAACAGAATTTAGTGATATAAATTCATTTATCTTTCAATTGTAATAGTAGTGGATGAAAGTAAATACATCAATACATCAAAAAAGACTAAGGAGATAGCTACCAGCATAAGATTTAAAAAAACAGGAAATGTAAGCATAGCAAGAAATTTAGCAGAACAGGTAACAATCTGTCACCAAAGCAGAGAGAGTGCCATTTGGAAGTCATCAGTGGTCAAATTTTCAATAACATCAACATTTTGGAATTTTGCATGTATCCCAAACTAAAGGGAAAGATCTCTGACTTGATGAGTAGAAGGTTCGCACTGCTGAAATTAAGGACATCTGGATAGACACAAATTTGGACACAGACTATGACTCAGGTACTTCTACAGCCACCCTCCTTTGTCCTTAAGGGTCATTTATGATAACAAAATGGTAATTTCTGGGTCCCTGTAGAACTCATCATTCTCGAAAAAATATAAGTCGTCAACTATCTCATCCTTGAGAGGTGATGGCATACTTTGATAGATTAGGTATGCATATGTCTAACTCCAAAAATGTGAGGAATGTGAATTGTGTTACTCTCTCCTATCCTATTACAGATATGGATGAAAGCCCCAAATTGCCTTTCATGACTGTCATAGGCAGTGGTTCATTATGTGAACTTCACAGAATCAATCAATGTTGGATATGTCACTCCTCAGGATATGTCACTGTTCCTCTCATTCAGCCACATGGAACCTTACTGACACACCTTTCCCACACAAAGCCAAAGGAAACCACCTGGCATCAACCAGAGTCAATGAACAGAATTATATTTAATGTGCTTCTAGGGGTCAGGGAATGTGATTAAGGACAGAAAGATCTAGATAGTCTTGAAAGTTCACTTATATCACCTTTCAGAACCTTCGCAAAGAGCTGTCTCAGCAGGTATGAATTATCCCAGTAGAAGAAAACGCCAACACTAACCACTGTGCTCTCCCTTTCTACTTCAAACATAGGATTAATTAAATGGTGCAGAGTTGTGCAAGGGGGTGAAATGGGGAAACCTGAAAACTTCCCTAATCAGATCTCAAGATACTATATCATTATTTTGCTTCTAAAGTACATTCCCACACATCAGCAACCTCAGAAAAAAAAAAATTGTCACAAGATTACTATTTTATAAATCGTATACCTATGTTGTCCCTCACTGGCAAAAGTAACCCATTCCTAAATCTACCAGGGCCTATTATTATGAGGCAGGCACTGGTGATTCAAAGTTGGTCTTGAAACACTCCATGTCCTTATCATCTAATGGTGATAGAAACAAGTAAATACAATGTGAGTAATGTCTTAATAAGAGCAATACAGATAATATAAGAGGTAGCCTATCTAATTCTGATTGGAGAAATCAGAAAGGGTGTCACAAAGGCAGCAAAGCTTGCCCTGAAAGAAAAGTAAGGATGAACAAATAAACAACAGTATTCTGGTCTCTTTCTGTCTATCACACCCCCCCGCCCCAAGATAAAGCTATGCGGAGGCATATGATCAATGAAAGACTGAACTGAAATATAGAAAATGAGGATATGATGGTTCCTTTCTTTCTTTTTTGCTTTCATACCTTTGTTTTCTACCACACATAGAAGAGATGATTAAAAGAAAGAATAGGAGAAGGAAAAGGATCAGAGAAAAAAAATGAATGAGGGGTAAAAATAAGTGTACAGGGCATTCTGAAGCAGTTTCACAAACTAAGAACTGCATTGGAGAACTAGCTACTCTCATATACTTCATTCATAACTACTCTTAAGGACAATGAGACAATATCTAGTAAAACTGAAAATATACATATTCTATTACCCAGCAGTTGCATTTCTTGGACTCATCTCTAAAGAACATATGTGCAAAAAAGGTGTTAACTGCAGCATTGTTATATGGGGAATATTTCTAGGGAAATACTAGAAACACTCTAAATGCTCATCAACAGGTACTGAATAAATATATTGTGGTTAATTATATAATGAAATGCTATACAGCAATTAAAGTAATAAACTTTATATATATTAACATGGAAAGAATTCAATAACATAATGCTGATAAGAAAGCTGATAAAACAGAAATGAAATTATTTAAAAATCATATATGTACTAAAAGTCTACAAACACTAAACTCATATATGTAGTTGCTTTTAGGAAAGGAAGAAAGTAATATGCCCAGGAAAGGAAATGGAAAAGACATCAACTCATTTATACGATGTGCTATTATTTCCTTTTATGTTTTAATTATACATTTACATACACACAAACACACACATACATATACCCCCCCAAACACATAAACATACATATATCTGAAGCAAATATTAATATGTAAATTCTCAGGGGTGATATGCAGGATTATGCTACATTATTTCCCCTTGTGATCTTCAGCAAGTTACCCAACCTCTCTGTGCTCTTCATCTGTAAAACGGGAATAAAATAACAACAACCTCAGAGTTTGAGAATGAGTAATAAAGAGCACTAACCATCTGGCACAAAGGAACTGTAATGAAAAGTTTAGTATATTAAAAATGTACCTCTCACTGGTCTCATTCAAATTTATGATCACAAATTTCAAACTGATGCTCAACAATGCCCTATAATTATACTACATTTCACTGATGTTTGAGTTCCTCCACTCTCCTAAATGGCTATTGTGTACCTTTTTCTCTCTTCAAATCTCTGACAATCCTCTCCTCTCAGAACTCTCTCAGTTAATGATCCTGCCAGGTCAAGACAATTGAAGCAACTGGACACCACCATTTATCCTCACCCTGTCTCTACATTTGTGCCTGCTTATCCTTCTTTTTACAAAGGATAAAGTGATCCAGCTCTTAATCTCTCCAGTTACACTCTGGATCCCATTCTTTCTGTTTACTACTCAGGTGTTGTCACTTTTATAACTATACCCTTTTCCATACATCATTAATTTCTCCTCCTATCCTGGATTACTACCATCAGCAAATAAATATGTTGTTTATCCATCTTTAAAAAACAAAACACCCCTCCCTCCAGCTACCATCTCATTTCTTTCATTCTAAGCAAAATTTTTCAAAAAGTTGTCTGTATTTGTTCCCACATCCTAATCTCTCTCAACCTACTCTCTTCAGGAAGACTGACAAATTAAACATGCATTTTTAAAGTTCATATAAACATACACAGCAGTAACTTGTCAACCAAATACTAATCATTAGAATTTATAAAGGATCATTATAAAAGAAGATCTAAGTGATTAAGAGATACATATACTCCCAAAAAAGGGGTAGCCCCCAAATTTGGGAATAACTTTGAAGTAAAAAATCATCCTCTAAGAGGATTAAAGCATAAATGAAGATTTTAGGACACCTCATTAAGTTTATGAAGACTCCAAAACTCATCAAGGTGATCAAAATGAGCCTAACTGAACACAAACTATAATTCTATCAAACGAATCTTGTCTGAAAGAATATTCTCAATGCAGAAGGACAATGTTCTGCAAGTGTCTACAAATCAGAGCCAGTTAAAAAAATCTATGCCTGTGCATCCAAAGTGATCCAAAATATTTTGAATTGCTCAGCCTGTTTTTGTTTCTCAAAGGAAAAGTTAAAACTGTCCTTATCAATTTAGCTGAATTTCTCTTATTTGTTGAGTTCTTTAAGAAATAGAAACAAAAGAAAGTTTTTAGATATCCAAGGCTGGAGACCAGACTTAACTCACGACTATACCACTAAGGTATAGTTGCTTAGTCTAGTTGCTACCTCTTACCTAAAATATTTATCCAAATCAGTACAAAATAAGCAATGACAAAAATAACAAGCCACATACATACTCCTTGTTCTTTTAAACAATTAAAACTGAGAATATGAAAGCTCAAAAAAGTATGAAGAGGGTTAAGTAGCATATCCCCATTTAATTCATATCTCTGTTATAGGCAGCATGATATTTGCTGAGGATTAAGATTCTTCATTCTTCTCCATTACTTCTCCATGTAGGAAAAAGATGCTGTAAGACTTAGATATAAGAATAGAAAAACACTGCAGTTGGAGCTCTGAAGATCAAGAGGACCACTGAGAGATCAAGAATTCCAAAGAATAAGAAAATGATAAAAACAACAAAACTTTGTTTCTTTAACTTACCTGTAGTTTTCTTAAATATTCTTAAGTTAAACACACTACCAAAATAAAATGTTTACATGAACTTAGACACAATTACTATATCTTTCTTGTTAGATTCATAAATACAAGGGTACTTCAAAAAGTTCATGCCTATTTTTCCATGAACTTTTTGAAGTACCCTCATATAGTCATTTACACATAATGAATCACTACTCTGATTAAATCACTGCCCTATAAATTATTCGTAACTGCTCTGTAGATGCAAGTCTCAAGAATCAGTTAAAAAGCTAAAAGCCAAGAATTCAGCAGATTCATTCCCTCACAGTCAAGAAGCTTCACTTAAATTCTAGCATTACTTTTCTTATTTCATTTATTCGCTAATATTGTTGAAACATATTTATACAAGGAATGCAAGTGTTTTAATATTCACACCTCTTAAACTTTATTAGTAACTACCAAGAAAGGGAGTTATGTGAGCACATTTTAAGATTTTCTAAAATCTGCTTTAAATTATTATTCTCCAAGATTGTTTAATATATGCACAGCTTTTTAAACAAAAGCAAACGCAAAGAAAGCAAGGCAATTACTTAGAAGCCATCTATTGGAAAAACTGAACCAAGAAATTATACATTCCTTTCTACCATAAAGTAATTCTAAAATCTAAGAAATTATATTATATAAATATACTTTTTAAACTACAGTTACATAGTAAGTAAAAATACATTATAAAAATATAGTGGTAGATTGCATTCATGACCTCAATTCTTTCTGTAATGCGAACAATTACCTGTGATTATTCTTTTTGGAAATTTACTATTGCTGTTTCCTAAAATGTATCATTATTTTTCTTAAGACAGGGCACACATATACTCCTCTTTTCTTCCATTCCTATATGTTTTACATACTGCTGCCTTGCAAATACAAATAACTGTCTTACCTGATGGAGGGATCATCATCCTCCGGTGCTGTTCCCATGGAGGTGACAAGGACCCAGTGTCAGAAAGTGCTCTATGAGAATCAGTTGACCTATCACAGCTTGATTCTCCTTTTTCATTGGTAATCTGATGGTCCAGAGTATTCTCTGGGCCTCCTGAGCCTAATTAAAGAAAAAAAAAAATACAATCCTGTTGTATCCTAAAAAGTATTATAAGACCTATCATCAAATAAAATCAAGAAACTCTAAAAAGTGAAAACAAACTGATTCTAACAAAGTTTCCCTAAGATATATTTAGACTATAATTCTATCTTACAAAGACATTTTTAGGACAACAAGGGGAAAATCATTTGCTATGTGCGTAAACAAACATTTAACTATAAAGTTCATTTTTAAATGTTATTACCAGCATCATTTTACACATGAATCAGTGATTAAATCATAAACTATAAATACAAAGTCTGAAAAATAAAGGTGTAGAAAGTAAACTGCAAAGTAAAGATTTCTACAGCAGATGTAATAAGATAATTATAAAAGGCAGTTTTTGTTGCTTAAACTAATATGTCAATAATCAAAATGAGCATGATTCCTTTAAAATGGTCATCTTAGGGCTATATACCTATTCAATAATTTTGCTACTACTCAAAATATTTTTTAGAATAACTCGTCTGGAAATGTTCTCAAATTAACTTAAGAGCCATGTAAAAAACTGCATCTCAAGGTTGTAACATGACTCTCTACTTCTGCCCAAAAATGATTAAATCGACCTGATTTAAAATTTTATATCTACCAGGTAAATTTAGCTCTAAATGGCTTTCAGTAATTTCTAAATATCAAATTCACATTCAAAAAGAGAACTCACAAGCTCTGAAGGCAAGTGCAAAACAAGAGTTTTGAAAACAACAGGACTATTGAAATAAACACTTTAAACAAACAAGATAACGTTCATTTGGATAAGAAAACCTGGCATGTTTATATTTATAAAGGGAAGAATCATTTTAAAGTTCCCTTCTTATGACCACAGAAATTATAGTACCTTAATTAAAAGCACATATTCAATTAAAATGAAAAAAGCATATATATATTAAAAAAAAACATTAAACATTCAGTAACAAAATATATTAATAACTTCATTTATCTGTCATTGAAAGGAAAATGATGTCTTCTCAAAATTATAATGTCCAGAACTCAAAAGCTTATTCCTTTCAAGGAATAGCTTTGAAATAAAATTTTTTTCAAAAAAGCCTTTCTAAAATGACTCCCCTAAAGGAGCTGGGGGATAGGGAAAACTTGGTCAACGGACACAAAATTACAGATAGATAGAAAAATAAGTTCTAGTGGTGTATAGTAGGGCTAAGAATTTATAATTAACAATAATTTATTGTATGTTCTCAAATGGCTAGAAGAGAGGAGCTCAAATGTTCTCATCACAACGATATGATAAACTTTTACGATGGTGAATAAGCTAATTACCCTGACTTGATCAACACATTGCATACATGTATTGAAATATAATTCTGTACCCCATAAATATGTACAATCAATATATGTCAATTAAAAATAAATAAAATAAAATGCTTCCCCCATTTCAGTGCCTCCTTTAAGAGAGGAGACCAAAATTAATTTGACCTTTTCTTGGTGATTTGTACAAATCAGTAATAGCACTAATTTTTTTAATATATAGTAATATTTTCTTAAAATTTTCCATCTATTTCCTTTTGTAGAGTCAAGAGGTCAACTATCATTTTTCCTTATGATTGTATATTCTATTAAATTCCCCAAATCTTTCCTTCTTGCTTTCATTAGAAAAGGAAGGCTGGGAAAAGCAAAAAATGTGCAAGAGTCAGTTAGGCTGAATTCACCTAGAGTGAAGCACAGAGCTTTAAGGCAGACAAAGGCTTTCTCCCGACTGCTTCCTTCCAAAGGACCAAAGCTACAGGCCGACTGACTCAACCAGGTGAAAATTACAAACTTGAAAATGCTAAAGGTTCAAGTTTGTCATTCAGACCAAAAGTTATATACAATTTACTCTAAAAAGAAATTGGTTTCCTTTACTCAACATTATTCAAACTTTCAAATTTAAAAAGATGAAAAAAGGAAAGGAAAGAAAGGGCAGTCTTCATCCTTCTTTGGTGGGTCATAGAAACTTCCAGTCCAATGCAAGTCTTTTAAAACCTAATGATAACTTACCTAGAAGTTCCGTAGTTTTTTTTTTTTAACAAATAGTAAAACACCTATACGAATAATCTAAACACATTGTATCTTGAAAGCAATTAAACAGGAGAGAAGAGGAGAAATCAAAGATAAATTTTGCTCTTAGTCCAAATATTCAATTGACTACAAGCAACCCTTGACTTATATAACTCAACCTCCAGTGATTCACATTTGCGGTTTAGCCAATTATATCCTTATTTCTAGGGCATTATTTTCAGACTGCTAGCTGCTACCCATTTGTGGTATGTGAAATTAACTTAGTCTTAATTAGCATTTTTTTAATGAAATAGAATAGAACTGAACAGAAAATATGAAAAAGCATCAAAACTGTAATGGTAAGTATTATTTCGTGTAACTGGTTTCAATCACATTTATGTTGGTGTGTGAAATGTGACATGATATAAAATATATTTCTTAACTTAAATAAAGGCTAAAATTTGGGGCAAAAAATGGACTTAGGGCACTAAGCACTCAGCCTATAGCAGACATGTGAATTCCAAAGTTAGTCCCCTTCCTGAATGGCCCAATGCAAACCTCCCCTAAGGCTACAAGTTATCAGTCTACAGAGCAGCCCTTTTCCCTAGGACCTTCCAGTTCAAAACTAACACAAGCAAAGTATCTCTCGGAAGTGACCCTGGGCTAGGGGCCCATCTGTGGGGGGACCGCGAAGTGGGAATGAACAGTTCTAAGTTGACCAAACTGAGGATGGAGAAAGAGGATATAAACATGATCATAAAGTAGGAAATTGATTTTCTCATATTCTTTGAAGCCAATTCCAAAGGAAGAGTTCTAAAAATATTTAGAATAATGGCAGCTTCAACTGAGAATTACATAGACGCTTTGAGAGAATATTTAGATGAGTAGTATCCATTTCAGTGTATGAGCTTTGGTATGTTGAGTTTAGTTCAGTGTTTTGATTTAGTCTCATTACTTCACATTCTTACCTCAGATGCAATCTGTAAAGATTACCGATAAAAGGTTTGGGGACATTTCACTGGTGAATAATGCCAACAGCTCTTACAAAACACAGACTTGGGACTGAAAACCTAAGACTTTTGATATCAGAATAAGTAGGACTCTGTATCTTTGAATTTTGTCACAAATCAAGGAAAAACTTTAAAGAACTTTGACAAAGTGAAGAAAGTATGGTAGAGATCAAAAGAGGAAAACTTCAGACACACAGGAGTTTTCAAAGGCACAAGGGCCTTTTATAACACCACGGTGATGCTGATGATGTAACGTGCAGAAAGGCCAACAGCTAATACTTAGCCTTGAGGCAGCTAAAGAAATTCTCTACAACACGTAAGGGAGTAACAAAGCTGACAATCCTGGGTTGGTTTCTCAAAAACAACTTAGGTCTCCCTAAAAGTTCCCATTAAAACTCTACCTATAACAGTACTTCTGAATTCTTTGACTCTAAAAAGTTAGATCTTTCACTTTCTGATTTTCTACAATAAAAAGATGATAAAGTAAAAAAAAAATTTTTTTTACTGCCTACATTTGATAATGTTTCACCAAAACACAATTTTATGCTATGTTATACTGTTACTGTATTTTATGTATTCTTTGTTAGGTTTTATATTATGTAGTGTAAAATATAGTTTTTAAGAAGTCAAAATATGGTTTAAAAAGATATGCATCAAGTCCTTGATCAAAATGCCATCTAGTATAATACTGTTCCTAAGAGAAAAACATATTAAAATTAGATATCACAGAGCTCCTTTTCCAAAAAAAAGTAAACCTCAATAAGTGCAAGGAATGCCTGTACTGTCCAAATGTTTATTTTACAGATCATTTTAAAGGTAAGTTGAGATGAAAATATAAAGTAAGGAAGAAATCTAGAGTAATAAAGATGCTTAAACAATATACCTCTTCCTCCTCCTCCCCCTGGAGGCAAAGGTGAGAGTCTGAGTGGACCCTCCAACAAAATTGGAGGAGAGAGAAAAGCTCTCGTTTCAGATGAAGGCCGACCCAATGGTGAGGGACCATATGGGGAATGCTCTGGAATAATTAAAACAGCACGTTTAAATTCATAGTTTCAGTTAGCTACACTACACAGTTAGAATTTTATTTCAACAATTACCATCAGGTAATCCTATTGACAATTTAAGTTTAATCCATGTCCTAAACACTAACTATGTCTTTGGTTTTGCTAATATAGGATAGAATTAAATATGACCACTGGTGTTTTTAAAGTTTGTCTACCAAATAAGACACATCAGTCAATAAAAACATTATCCTCTTGGTAATTAATACACTTAAATAACTATACATATTAAACAAAGGATACTGGTGATACATTTTGGAGTTACAGGAGGATTTGAGGACATGAAGTTTGTTTTATTTTGTTTTTAAAGGCAGTATGCTTCTAGACATTTCAGCTGGTGAAGGTTGCAATATGGAAGTGCTCAGTTTAAATCAGAGCCAGAGAGGCTGTGTTGGGCCACAAAGTAAAGCTCAGATTTTAGAAAAACCCATAAAATACTCTGAAGCACCAGAAATTACTTTTGATTCAATACCCATGAAAAGTCAGTTTACATATACTAATTCATCAAATAAATCATTATTTATTTATAATCCATAAAACCAAGAGTTCTATCATTTTACAAACTTCACCACTCCCAAATAATAGTTATGCTTCCAAATGTCAAAAATTAACAAACAAACCTATATATATACCACCAACATAACACTTTTTAAACATGTTAAGTTTTATTGAGTGTAACTGATATACTATTCAAATCAGTTACAACAAAAGATCAAGGCATCATTTATCCTCCCTGAGATTTTTACATTGGGTTTAAATAGTCCCTATCTTATGGAGCTCAAATCTTGTGGGTTTAGAGAATAATTCCTGCTGTATACTTCCTCCCACTACAAACTTTGCTACTACTAAAAATTCATAATAATCTGATATTTTCTAAATGTAGAAATAAATTTCAAATTTAATGAAATTTGACTCTCAAAAGTGATTTTTATAACTTTCCAAAGGTTACTGAAACGGGATTCTACCAATATAAACTTATTTTCACTGCCTCAGAAGCTTAATTCTAATTCAGTCAAAATTATTTTTTAAAAGTTAAACTATTTGGAATAGTTTGAGATCATTACAGATCCTAACTCAATAATGAATGGACCTTAAATACCCCTTACAAAGAACTGCTCCTCCGTTGGGAGTAATTAAAGCAATCAAACTCATTTTATTAACTTTTTCCCACCTTTTAAATTGAAAGTTTTAAATAATTATAAACCAACTATTTTGATTCTCATTTTTATAATTCAAGCAAATTCCAAAGTATAGTTAATATGTAAACAGTCACAATGTTATTCCATTTAAACACTCCTTAAATCCATTCTCCCCACCCCCAAAATAGTTACTTTACTATATGCCAAACACTTGGCTTTTCAAGGAGCTCAACTATATATCAACTATATATATAGCTCAACTATATATCACCTTACAAAATCCCACTGAGAAAGGGAGCGATAATTTTCATTATTGCTAGGGAAACAAAACCCAGAAAATTGGAGGCTGTCAGAGACCTTACACAAGAACCCTGGCTCCAAAATCTAATTTATTAATAATAGTGTTAATTTACATTAATATAAACTATGTGTGCAATATATAGATATATAGATATTATGTATTTTAAATGAGGGGTTAAAAAAAAAAAGACTACCTCTGCCAAATGCTGTATTTGGAACATCAAGTGCATAAAGATCTTTTTCTAAAAGTTCAAATTTAAACTCTTTTTCAGTTAATCTGCAAATAAAGAACAAATATCTCTATGTTACTCATCCATGAGAAACACCCACATTTCAAGAAAAATGCTACTACCAAGTACAAACTACTCTTCACTATCTCAGTATCTGCATAGAAAAAACAGATGCGCAAAAATTATTCCGGACCAAAACCCCTTTATTTCCCACCACTTATTTTAGGGTAACTGGTTTCTTGTTGCCTAGGAACAGTGACGTTTTGTTGAGATTTGGAATTGTTTTGTTTCTTTTTCAAAATCAGACTACATGAGTACTATATCACAAAATCCAAATTATCAAAATGGAAGAGCTCTCCAAGTTTAACAAGTTCAAGTCTACATTTTACAGCTAAGGAAACTGAGGCTAGGAATTTAAATGATTTATTCAAAATGAAAGTTCCAGGATTAAAACACAGGGTTCCTGGCTCTGCGTCAGGTATGCTTTCCATTGTAATGTGATCGGTATGATTCCAATCTTAACATAAAACTGGAAATACCATTAACTCTTTCTACTATTTTAATCCTGAACTTTTTATCTTAAAAATGTGATGTTTTAAAAGAATCTTATTCTAGTTCTTGACTGTCAGATCTGATATAAAACACTTAATCATTTTATTTTAATTTCTGAGAGTAGAAAAGACAAGAAAGAGGACTAAAACTAATATTGGATAATGTTAATAGTATATTCTGGCATGAAATTATAACACTCTGGGAAGACTATTACTATCCTTATAGAAAAGCATTTATTCTTTGAAAAGGGGTCTTTGAAAAGTTTGTGGAAAGCTTCATATTATCTTTTAATTTCATTTTTCCATGAACTTTTTGAAGTACTCTCGTACACTGTACACTTTCATTCTCCCTTTCATTTTATTATGGTGAAAATATGCCATCCAATACAACAAAACCAGTGGATGACAGAGATAATAAACATTTATTTTGTCTACTTAACCATTAAAAGATGCGGTACTCTGAGTATTACTATCTCAGATTCATCCTTTCTCTTTCCATCCATTTTTACCTCCCTCCACCTATACCAGTTTAAGAAAATTTTTGTTACATTTTTTTACAGAAGCATCTGTGAACAGTTTCCTTCAAGTGCTACTTCAGTGCCCTCTCTAAGTATTTCAAACAAAAAAACTAGCCACTCCTAGTAAAACTAACAAATATTTCACAATGATACATGCTGGGTTCACTGCAAGTTTTCTTATTTACCCTTACAAAAGTGTAACCTAATTAATATATAACAACTCATTGAAAGTTTTTAAAGTGTTCTGACTTAAGATACTTACTTTTGTCTCTTGTAAGCATTTTCTTTCTTTAAATCACTGAGGTATCTTTCAGCAGTCCGAGCTGCCAACTTAAAAAAAAAAAAGAATTTAAAAAATACATTTATACACTTAAAATAAAAGATAAGTATAGGTATCACGGTAATGGCATACAAATATCACAGTCACTTGAGTAAATAATCATTTCAGTAAACTCAATGCAAAACATTTTAAATTTAGAAAATTATTTTAAAAGGGAAATTAGTTTCATGTAAGCAGAAGACATGAGCTACTAAGACTGGAGATTAATCATGTAATTGCCAATGAAAGTAGCTATCGAGATGTGAAGTCAAAGATTAGCATTATTTGATTCTGTAAATATCCAAACAACATGATAAAAGCTATATAAAAGGACACAATGAGAATGGAAACTCAGGGTCATTATGCATGCAACAAGGTACTTATCTCTGGAGAGAAATCACTGTAGTTCTGTGAAACCATAAAAGTCTAAAATAGTTTCACAGCATGCTAGTAAAGGCCACTTTTTTTTAAATGGCTGAATATAATCAATGCATGTTGCACGTCTATTAGGTATATAGCACTGTACAGATCATATTCCTGTAAGTCTTACATTTGTTTAATAATATTTTACTTAATAAAAGGTTAAAAATAAGAATATATGTTATAGAAAACAAAGCTTACGTTTATAATAAATACCAAGAGCATGCATATTCCCCAACAGTTGTTGGCAAAGGTTAAACCTGTCTGCTATGCTGCATGTTTGTCATTCTGTGGATTCTGAAGATGAGGTGCAGCAGTGTGTGGAACGTTAGATGAAAACTAATGCAACCCACGAGAGTAAGTATATCTACCATACTCTACAACCTTAGCTTTTTTACAAGGAATTACACTATCATATTTGTGTTCACTTAAAATTGTGAACTACACATTAATTGACTTTAATTGGACAAAGAATAAATTATGTAAATATTCACAAAAAGCATAGCTTAAATATATTTTAGCATTCCCAATCAAAAATGACTCCATATGTAAATCTTTTTCCAACATGTAATCATATAATCAATTCTGTACTAACAAAAAAGAATGTAATGCCAATAACAATTTTAGTTAGTGAAATATACCAATTCATTTAACTTTTAACAATGCAGAACCAAAATTACTTCCTAATGTTTTCTACACGGTATACTGGCCAGCCGAAAAAAAAAAAAAAAGTGTTCTAGATGGTACAGAATAACATGTCTAAGTATAAGGCACAAAAAATCATAGTAAGCTACCAATATTAAAGATAAATTACAAAAGATATATATATATATATATATATATATATATAAACAAACTGATGGCAAATGTTTACGGGCTTTTGAAAAGCTTACACCCAAAGGTTAGGTAAAAGTGTAATTTCAATGAATGATCTAAAACGCTGTATTAAAATATTGAATAATTATAATACGCATAGCATTTTGTTAGGTGCAGGTGTTAAGGAGAAAGAAATAGTCCCTATCTTATGGAGCTCAAATCTTGTGGTAAGAATACGAACGACCACAGTAAAAAACAGGATACTTGCCATGAGATACATAAAAACAAAGTACTACTTGAGTTCAAAGGAAGAAAAGATTAAATCTCATAGGATGAAGCAAAGATATGCTTAATGGAGAAAGTAACATCTGAAATTATAACAGTAGAGAAAGTAGAAACAAACTAAAGTTTTATCAAATGAGAAAGGTTCTCCTAAATTATGAAACATTCATAAAATTCTATGATACGTTAAGTAAAAAAAAGCAGGTTATAAACATTTAGTAAGATATAATATAATCAATTCCTTTTTTAAAACATATGCTTTAATGTCTAAATGCATTAAAAAGTATGGCATAGGCCGGCCCGGTGGCGCACTGGATAGTGCGCCGCTTGGGAAGCGCTGCGGCGCTCCCGCCCGAGGGTTCGGATCCCACATACAGACGGACCGGTTCCCGCTCACTGGCTGAGCGAGGCGCGGGAGCAACACCGAGGGTTGCGATCCCGTTGCTGGTCCCCGGTCCGGTACAGGGACAACACTGAGGGTTGCGATCCGTTGCCGGACACGGAAAAAAGACAAAAGACAAAAAAATAAAATAAAATAAAATAAAAGTATGGCATAAATGAAAGTGATATTAATGATTACTTCTTTGTACCTCTCTATATGGTCTGAACTTTTAATGAGTACATATTATTTTTATAAAATCTGAAAAATATCTTTTCAGTAAGACAGAAAGGGCATATTTTCTGCATGTTTTAATTTAAAGTCAATGCCATATTTACTAAACAAGAAACTCAATGTACAGTAACAGAAAAAGTACAAGACAGAATCTGAAAGATGAGAATTTTGATTTCTACCCTTCACTCTCTCATTACCTGACCTTTGGCTGGGATTATAATGCCTATGTTACAGAGTTATCAAGTAAATTAAATGAGTAATATATGTAAAATGCCTTTAAGTACAGTAGCTATAATGTAAGAGACTTTAATAAACATCCTCTTCACCTTTAAAAAATAATCTACATGTAAGTATTTAGAAAGTGGTGAGGAAGGATGAAGAAGACTAAATTCATTTCCAAGCCCAGCTTAATTCAGTAACAAATCTTTATGTGAACCCTCAATATCAACAAAGCACACAGAATCTTAGAATTGGGAAGGACCTCGACATTCAACATACTTAATCTCTCACCATATGCTGGAATCTCCATTCCAACATGTCTAAGAAACATCTACCAAGCTTCAGTATAACAACAATGATAACAACAGTTAACATTTACTGAGTGCTTATCATGTGTCAGGCACTTGGCAAAAACCTACATGAATCATCTCATTTAATCATCGCAATAACTATGAAATAGGTACTACTGACATCTCTATCTTATAAATAAGGAAACTGGTAGTAGGTGATGGAGTCAGATACAACCAAGACAGGCTAACTCCAGACCCTATGTATTCATCCACTGTGCAAGCTGTCTCCCCTTGAAGTCTCCTAGTGACAGGCACCACACAGGCTGGCTATTACGACAGTCCTACATGTTAGAGAGGTCTTTCCTATAATTAGTCAAAATCTGCATTCTTACCACTTCCCCATACAGTTCCTCTGGAGCAAAGACATATTATTTCTCACAATGGCCCTTTTCTTAATGTATACCAAGTAATTCAACACCAAGAATCACATAAGAGAATTGTCTGACTTTTAGAACCAGAAGCAGCTTTAGATAGCACTTAGACTGATCCCGTGGTTTTACAAATGAGCAAACAGGTCAGAAAGTATGTCCACAACTAACCAGTGGTAATCCAGTGCCCAAAAACAATGAGTCCATGAACATTATGTCACCTCCCCCAGAGAGTATAAGCTCCTCTCAAAGAAGCAATGTGCTGACAACAGAGAAGAAAAAATCAGATTTTGTGAAAAACTGTTATAACAAAGTATTATGTTCCTTGTGAAATTAAAAGAAACTCATTTTTAAAAATATTACCTTATTTTCACCTAATTTATATGAATAGTGTATCTTTTGAAATGAAAAAGCATAATTTGACAAAAGAGCCTTAGGGGAACTTAAAACTTACCCAATTATCATGCGCTTTTTTCTCATAGGAAACAATCTGAAAAAGAAAGTCATTAAAATACTACTGACAACTATTTTTCTTAAGTAAAATACATTCACATCTATCACTATGATTTAGTACACAACTCATAAACTCAAAAATAACCCAAGCATCTCTGAAGAGTCAGAAAGCAACACTTTAAAAGCAAATTTTCATGTAAACACGATCTACTCTACTATACTTTGAAAACAAAAACTGAATGTAAAGATAATTAAACTTTTTGTCAGTGAACTTCTTTATGCAATAATCAACTACAACAGGAGTTGCCAATTAACAGATTACTAGCATGACCGAATATGAGACCTTAATGCTGATGATATATGTTTGTTTATGTGATGTAATACACATTCCCAAAGCAGCAGGAGACATGGCAAATTTTTTTTTTTTTTTTAAAGATGATTGGTAAGGGGATCTCAACCCTTGACTTGGTGTTGTCAGCACCACGCTCTCCCAAGTGAGCTAACCAGCTATCCCGATATAGGGATCCGAACCCATGGCCTTGGTGTTATCAGCAGCACACTCTCCCAAGCCACAGGCTGGCCCAGACATGGCAACTTTTGATAAGAAAGGGTTCGGATCCCATGTGGAGACCGGTTCCCGCTCACTGGCTGAGCGCGGTGCTGGCGCAACACTGAGGGTTGCGATTCCATTGCCAGTCCCCGGTACGGGCGCGACACCGAGGGTTGCGATCCCGTTACCGGTCAGTAAAAAAGACAAAAAGGAAAAAAAAAAAGATTTCTTATTACGGAATCTCTGACTCCCTGGAAATGTTCCACAGCCACATGCAACACCTCAAGAGAGGTGTACAACTGGTCAAGTAATTATATTCCTGTACCAATTCAGACAAATTAGATTTATTTTAAATTACACACACACACACATACCTGCCCTTGATAAGAACGAATGGTTCTCTCCAATTCTTCTTTAAGATCTTTGGCTCGGCTTCTACAAGGAGCAAATAATTATCCTACTATTAATATATAATAAGAAATGACAGAACATACTCTCTACTAAAAAATACTCCATACTAAAAAATATTAATTAAAGCACCAAAGTGCTCTCTATCATGTAAAAAATAACTCCAGAACTCAACATGTTAAGAAATAATCACCTTTGAGGGGTTCCAAAGTATTTTTTTTCCTGATCTAATTTTAACATTAATTAAGCCTTAAGAGTACTACTACTTAAGATTACCTAAACCAAAGGTCATGCAAAGAATCATATGGTATATTAGTCTTCTATTTTTAAGAAGCATAATCCTGGAAGATTTATTCAGAAGTCTACCATCTTCATAGAATTATAGAAAATTAATGACCTTTGCAAAGTAATATGTTACTTATTACCTTTATAAAACTAACAAGATAATTCCTTCTTTCAGATAAAACTGAAGCTTACTCTTCCTAAGGTAAAATAAATTATCACAACTATTAGGGATATTGTTGAATCTTGCCCCTTTTTTTCTCTAGGTTTTCTATTATTTCCTTGGATCCAGTGAGGCTGGAACCAAGGTAAAAACAAGACTTACAGTCTTATATACACTTCTTCAGAACACTAATTGTGGCTTGCTCTTCTTTTTGTGGCTCACTTATTGAATTCATTAATATTGTATATATTCTTCCCCATTTGAACCAAAGATAAAAGACCTAGAAATTATCTATTCATAAATTTCTTGACATTAACATAAAATAGGATTGTCCATATTCAAATGTGAGATATTTAAAAATCACACACCCTGAAAGGAAAACATTTTTTTTTCCTTTTTATATCTTCTGTATGCACAATATTATGAGAGAAATCTGAACAAAAAGTAACACAATAAAAATATGGGGTTTTTTTGGTTGCTTTATTATTTTTTCTGGTATTGAGTTTTTAGATACCCTTCTCACCCCAAATAGAAAGGGAGAAAATGAATTAATACCTATAGGTCTCCAGTTCTTCAGCTGCATGGCTGATCTTTTCATCTACCTTGGAAAGTTTCTCCTCCTTCTCTAACCGGTAATTTTCCTCTACTGTTAATTTCCTTAAAACAAAAAAAGTGTTTTATTTCTTTCAATACATGTCATAAAATAATCAATTACATCTTTTTAATTGTATCTAATCTGTGCTTCCCATAAAGCCACTAAAAAATCACATGCAAGGAAAAAAAAGTACCAATGTAAATATTCCTGTTGTGGAATTTAATATTATAAACTCAAATTGCAAAACATCATGTCTAACGTAGTACTATTAATATAATAGTCTCAACAGTTTCTATATCAATCTATCATGAAATAAGATTATCAAAGATAAATATTAATAAGAACTATTCTGACTATATAGCATTTACCAAGCCTTCCTGTATAAAGAAGCATGATATTTGTTAGACAAGAAGTCACTGACTAAAAAGGTGTTTAAGTAATTTTTAAATTAGTTGTTAAAATAGCAATTAGGTTTCCAGGCCAGTTCACTAAAACAAACAAAAACAACTTATAATGGACCCAATATTAGTACTACTCCTGTCTTTTTATAGTAAGAGTAGGTAACTTATTGAGCCATTAGTATGTGCCAGAAACTGTTCTTAGGCCTTTCAATGTATTATCTTATTACTATAGCAGCTCTGCAAGACGGGTACTATTATTATTCCTATTTTACAAAAATGAAAATGAAGACCAGAGAAACTAAATAATTGGAACAAGGCAGAGAGCTTGCAAGTAGTGACTCCTTAATGCTATATTGCCCATGTTGTTTCACATAGTACCATTAATAACACTGATCCCTCAAGAAATATTTATCGAATATCAAGGGAAAACACAGTTGGAGTCCTAAATCGATGACTCCTCTCCTTCATGAACTCCAGGAAGGAACATGACAAACTACTGAAGAAATCCTATGGGGCAGCAGGAAATATTCTATATTCTATACACTACATTACCTTTGCTTAGAAAGCACTCCTCCAGGTCAGTAATTTCATAGGTGTTATAAGAAAACAAAAGTCATCTACTTAGGAAAAGTGTGAAAGCATATGAGTATGGATATGTAAGAGATGTGTGTTTTTACAGACTGTGTAGATTGAAGATAGCCAGAAATTCTTTGACACCCCTCCCATTGAGAGGTGAAGTCTATGTACCCTCCCCTAGAATTTGGGTGGGCCTATTAAAGATGGAAATTACACTGTAAAAGTAAACCCAACGATATGACTAAAACATAATCACATCTCACTTCACATATGTAAAGCAACACACCAAGCTTTTAGGTTCTACCATTTTACTTCTCTCCAATATTAAATTTGGGAAAGTGCTAGTAATGCAATATATCAGTCATGAAAAACATCAAACCAGCATCTAGAAAATGACTATACCAAAATTATACTGTATGAAGACAAGAATTTAAAATTTTACTGGTACTATTGACTCTATATTCTACTCTTAAAAATATCCAGTTGCATAATTTATCAAATTTGAATAGTGAATAGTTTGTGTAAGAATGGAATACATGATATTTTGAGAATTCAAAACATTTCAAACTAATGAATAAAATCACAATGTGAACAACACAGGATACTATTCAGCTTCCTATCCTTGCTTTGAAAATCTATAGAAAACATCTTTTTCTCTTAGAAATTTTAAACATTACTCATTAAAATCCTATAATCAACCATATACTTGTATTTTTTGTTCAAAAACTCAAAAGTATTTCTCTCATCTCAAATAATCTTTTATGTCCAAAATTTACTTATTACATCTTTCATTCTAACCTAAAAAGAAGGTCCATTCCTAGGTTTTCTGATTGAAACTATGAGGCTCTACTGTCACTCTTCCATTTAGTTAAGTTTAATTTCTCTTTCATACCATGAGAAGTCCCAAAAGGCCCAAAGGTACACAATGTACAGCAAGTTTTTAATTTTGAATTGAATCCAAAGCATGATTGAAGTATAGACTTTGGCAGTGAATGAACCTAACCAACCACCCAGCATCTTGATCTCAATGGAGTATCAATATTCACTAGCAGTTTCCAAATATATAGAGCAGATTCTTGTTACTATAAAGTTACTATAGAGCCACCACAAATCCTGAATTAGCAAATACTGGATCATTGCTCTTAAGGGTAATATAGGGCTAAGTTCCTGCTAGCCTATGGTCACAATGCTTTTATCAACCAATTAGTATATAATCTTATATGTGCTTCTGTTTAAAGACACCTCATTTAATACACATTGTTGATTCGTTAACATTGAACTCACGTACAACAGCCTTATAACTGACCCCTAAACAAAGTTTATCTGACACATGTATTTCCTCCATAAGACACAACACAACCTTCTTGTACTTAGGAAAACTAGACAGCACTAATCTTGGGGTATATTTTCAACAGCTAATCAAAAAAAAAAAAAAAACATAAAAATGTGAAAAATGTGGCACTAAATATACTGTTAAAGGGACACTTATTTACAAAATAAGAGCTGAAATAAGAAGGCAGAGCATGACCTTAGCTGGCAATATGCACATTGGGTAACTCAAATTTCTTGCATTCTGAGCATATCCACAAATAGCCATGTACTGATTTGGGGCTACAAATAAATTTTAGCAAGTAGGAGAATTTGCAAATACAGAATCTATGAATAATGAGGATCGACTGTAATGACTTTCATTAAGTTCCTAAAGGGCCCTGAAAGTCTGTTACACTTTATTGCCCTTTATGATAAAGATATATGCTACAGTGGTTTTTTGTTGTCGTTGTTGTTGCTATTTATTTATTTATCTTTGGCCATAAAACAAGTCTTAATACATTTAAGAGACTAATATCGTAGAAAATATGTTACCTGACCATAATAACAGAAGAAACTTTAGAAAATTCAGAAATGTGCAGAAATTAAACAACACTCTCCTAAATGAACAATGGGTAAAAAGAAAAATCACAGGGAAATTAGAGAGTACTTTGAAATAAAAGTCAAAGCACAATATATCAAAATTTATGGGATGCAGGAGTCATGCAGTGCTTAGAGGAAAATTTATACTTATAAACACCAATATTAAAAAGAAGAAAAATCTCAAATCAATAATGTAAACTTCTACCTTAAGGAAATAGAAAAAGAAGAGCAAACTATACCAAAAGCAAATATAATTAGGAAATAACAAAGATTACAACAGAAATATATGAATAGGGAATTTAAAAACACTAGAGGAAAAATCAACAAAACCAAAACGAAATTTGCAAACCTTTATCTAGATTGACCAAGGAAAAGAGAGAAGACCAAAATTACTAAAATCAGAACTGAAGCATGGGCATTATTACTGAAGCATGGTTTTTTGTGATGGTAAGATTTAGTTTCTTTCTCTTTCTCATTTGCATTTTTGTTCTACCAGTGGGTTTTGTTCTTTCTTGTGTATTCGTGGTAGTGACTATCATTCTTCAGATTCCAGATGCAGGAATTCCTTGAGGATTTCTTGTAGACTGGTCATGTGGTAGTGAACTCCTGCAGTTTTTGCTTGTCTGGAAACACATTATTTTTCCCTCATTTCCAAAGGACAGCCTTGCTGGGTCTATTATTCTCGGATGGCAGCTTTTTTCTTTTAGTGTTTTGAATATGTCATTCCATTGTCTTCTGACCTGTAGTTTTTGTTGAGAAGTCTGCTTTTAGTCTGATAGGGGCTCCCTTACAGGTGACTTGATGCTTTTCTCTTGCTTCTTTTAAGATTCTCTCTTTGTCTTTGAGCTTTACCAGTTTGACAATAACGTATCTTGGAGAGGGTCTTTTTGAGTTGAATTGGTTTGGGGATCTTTGAGTCTCCTGGATCTGAAGGTCCACGTCTCTCCTTATACCTGGGAAGTTTTCCATTATTAGTTTGTTAAATAGGTTTTCCATGCCTTTTCCTTTCTCCTTCCCCTCTGGAACACCCATGCTTTCAATGTTAGTGTGCTTAAGGTTGTCTGCTAGCTCTCTCAGATATTCTTTTAAAATTCTTTTTTCCTTTTGTTGGTCCCCCTGGGTTATTCCAAAAAGACTATCTTCAAGTTCAGAAAATTCTTTCTTCTGCTTGTTCCTAGCCTGCTGCTTAAGCTATCAATTGTGTTTTTTATTCCAGTGAGTGAGTTCTATGAGTTCTGATGAGTTCTTTCACACTCCGTGGATTCTACTACATTCTTTTTTAACATATTCATCTCTTTGCAAATTTCCTCCTTCATATCCTGGATTTCTTTTTCTCATTTCATTATGTTTTCTAACTGAATATTCTCCCATCTCAATGAGTTTCCTTAAGATTGTTGCACAGACTTCCTTTTCAGTCACTGCAAGGGTTTCCTGCTCTATAGGGTCTGGTATTTGAGAATTACTGTATTCTTTTGGTGGTGTCATATTTTCTTGGGTTTTTGTATTTCTAGTATCTCTACGCTAATGTCTGATCATTTGGTAGAGCAGTCGCTTCTTCTATTACTCTGGAGTGGGTTTTGAGGAGAGAGACATCCTCTTTTTCCATTCTCCACTGATGACTCTCCTTATGTCACTGCAGTAGAGCATCTGGCAGGCCACATGCACAGTGACTGTGAAAACTGCTGTGGTATCGAGCCACTTTTGCAGCAGCCATGACTGTGGCAGTGGTTGTGGTGGGCCACCTGTGCTGAAGTGGTGTTTTTGGCATGCTCCATTTCTTGCCTGCTTCTGGGCAGAGTGGATGGCTGTCCTTGGCTCCTGACTAGGATCCTAGGCATGCTCCGTTTCCTACTTGCTTCCAGGCATATGGGGCAGCTGCCCTCCTATAGGGGTATTTGAAAATATGGAGTCTCCAGATAGTTATCTCAAGGATCTTCTGTATACCTGTACATTTAGGCATCGGCATACACATACACACACTTTTTCACTCCAATATGTAAAGGAACTAAACATATTTATTGATATATTCAATAAATACTTATTGAACAGCTATCCTGTGCCTTATATAGTTCTAGGCACTGGAATACAGAAGAGAAGAAAATAAAGTCATTCTCAAATGCAGCAAATATTTGAAAAAATAAAAACAATCATCAGAGGACAATAAGGGCTATGAAGAAAAATATAGCAAGGTGAGAAAGACAGGTATTATTTTAGTTAGGGTAGTCAGAAGAGGATTCTTTGAGGCAACATTTGAACCTAGACTCAAATGAAATGAAGAACTGAATCATGCAAATATATAAAGGAACATCATTCAAGGCAAAGAGAGCAAGTGCAAAAGGCCCTGATGCATAAATGGGTTTGGCATGCTAATGATCCTCAAGAAGACCAGTGTGGCTGGAGGGTAGTGAGGGAAAAAGAAAACAAATAAGCTAAAATTAAAGACAGAGCCTGGGGTCAGAACTTATAGGGTCTCATAGATCAAGACAGAGACTTTGGATTAAATTCTGAGTGGGATACGAAGACATTTGGGGGTTCTGAGCAAGAGACTGACAATATCTACAATTTATATTTTAAGGGTCATCCTGTGCATTGCATAGAAAACACAGTGCAGGAAGTTAACGGTGGAAGAAGGAAGATCACTTATGAGGCTACTTTAATAAACCTGGTCTAAATGAAGATAGCTTGGACCAGAGCAGCAGTATGGGAGGTGGTAAAAAGTAGTCAGATTCCGTCTAAAGAATCCTGACAAGATATGATGATAGAATGAATATAAAATATAGAAGAAAGAGAGAAGTCAAGAATGGCTTGGACAGCTACCCTGAACAACTACGCAAATGACACTGCCATTTACTAAGACAAGTTACACCTGGGCAGGAGCAATTTGTATAGGGGAGAGGAATCAGTTTTACATATATCAGACATGGAGTTAACGGGTAGCTTAATCAAGCATGTCCACTCAGATTCCCTGACCTAGCCTACCAGTATTAGAAGGTTTAGGTAATAATTTGCTGACTATTTATTGGAAGTTAAAGAAGATTTTGTGAACTAGCTTGGAAATTCCAACATCATTTACATCATCTTCTTCTTTGAAGAAAAGGTATTCCAAGATCAAATAACTTTCTTAAAAATGAATTGATGAAATATAATCCAACCATAAATTGAGAACTTCCAATAATTACAGAAGCTGAATATGCAACATATACCTTTAAAGCTATTTTACTTGCCATCCAATGGAATTAGCAACATCATTTTAATTACCTGTGGAGTTTCATTTCATTTTCTTGATACAGTTCAGTCATTACTTCAAGTTTCTGCTGAAGCTTCTGATTCTCACTTTCCAACTGTGTATTTTCTGACTGTAAAGATGCTTGTTCAATCTGGATATTTTTAATATGCTCTATAGAAAATTTTTTAAAGTCATAATAAAAGGAGTAAATACTCTGAGTTGCACATTAACATTTCAAAAAGATAAAAATTACTAAAAATAATAAATTATTATAAACTAAACTGTAACAACAGAAAATCTGTAAGATATTTTGTTTACCTAAATGCTTTTTAATATTTTAACTTACAAACTATATAAATTGTTTTAATTTTTTAAAAATTATTTATAGGAGTCCCAAAACCTTCAACATTCTGATTCTAGCATCAACCTGAGAGCTAAAAGCCACTAAAGTTCTCAGGAAGGTATTTGAGATGAGAGTATTGAAGACAGATGTGTTAGTTCAATATTTCTTGTAAAACTGCTCCCAATATAAATAAAGCTTGTTTTTATCTAGTAAAAACTTGACCTCTCAATAATACTTAAGTTCTACCCACCCCTTCCTTTTAAGCCAAAATTTTTACATATGCTATAGGTCAAGCCAGAAATCTGGATCTTCCAATAACAAATGCTCAAAGTCTTTCTAGCTTAAACCAGATCAAAACTGGGGAGAAAAATACCAACTTTAGCTTTGTTTCAACTGTTAAACCACCTTAAAGAATCATCTATAAAAATGAAAATTAATAATTATAAATGGTTTACAATTAGTGCACCAATTATTTTTAAAAACTCATTCCTCTTCCAACATTTAACCTCAACTCTGAACTCCAAGATTAAAGTACTAACTCTGAACTCCTCTAAATTTAAGCTATCGACATAACTTCAACTCTGAACTCCTCTAAGATTAAGGTACCATTTCCCAAAACACATGTATGAATCACCACCACAAGTCTTAATACAAGACAAAACTCATTCTGCCAAAGGAGGGCAGTTTCAAAATCATGTAAGCAAGCATGAAAATTTCAGTAATTGTATGTAATGGTATATAACTATTCTAAAATACCCATTAATTAAATGTACACACCAAAAGGGCAATTTAAATAAATGTTAACATTAAATGATTAAATGCATAGGAAATTGTGCATATCTGTCTTTCCACAGATATTTTTAAATCTACATCAGAAAAAAATTTTCTGAGTTAGGCTTTAAGCAATTGCTGAGAACAGTCTCTTAACAAAGAAATTAACATTGGGTATTCTCTCTATTAAAATTGAATCATCCCTACCGCAAACAAAACAAAACTATATATCAACACTTAAATCTTTATTATATTTTTATACTTCTACTCCATTTTGTTTCAAATTTTCTGTATCCTAAAAGAGCACTATAAATAATTACCAAAAAAGGGAGAAATAGTTTAGAAGAAAACCTTCATGCTAAAATAGAAGACCAATTACAGAAATTTACCTTTCATGACCCATTTAAAAAAAAAGAAAATTAGATTTGGAAGAAGGGTACAGGCAACCATAGGGTCTCCAAAATATTAGTTTAAGAAAAAAAAAAAAAAGATTTGCCAAGAAATTGTATTAAGGAATGGGGTAACTGGTGAACAAATTCCTTGCTACTCTGGCACTATCTACACATATTTTCTCACTGAAATTCTGTTAATATACTAAAACACAGCTTCCTGAAAAGATAGCTTCATATCTTTTCCTTCTGTGAATCTCCCATGGCCTTTTAGTACTATGCTTTACATATAGCAACTTTTTTTAAACTTAATACTAATGTTTTTCAAAATCCAAAAATAATCCAACTACCAAAATCATGTAAGGCTATAATAATTTTTTAAATAACCTCCATCTTCAGTGGTACAACCATTTAAAACAGTGTTTTATTATAAATATGGTTCATTTATTGTAAAAGTTTTTGAAAGTACTGATAAGTGAAAAGAAAATCTGCCCATAAACCCCTACTCAAAGATAATCATTGCTGACATTTGAGTATGTCCTTTCAGTTTTTTTTAATGCAGATGCATATTGTAATTTTAAAAACTTTTTCTAAAATGAGGTGTTATTTATACCAATTTAAAAAAATTTCTAACTGACAGAACTTGTTTACTTTTTAAAAATACAAATACTATCAGCAAAATAAATAGAAGTGTTTTCAACAAAAAGAAAATTTTCATTTCTACAGATTTAACATCACTCCTGTACGTACTAATATACTATGTATGTACATTAAAGGAACAAACCATACTACAAGTAGTACCACTACTGAAAATAAATTTTGCGATTAACAAAGATTAAAAAACATAAGTTTCAATTTGCTACTTTTTAACATCTAAAACCATACCAAACATATAACACTGTAATTCAAAGATAAATACGGTTTTACACATTTTCAAAAACAATTTCATTATTTTAATTTTACATATAGAGGAAATTGATATATTTTTATCAACAACAACAACAACGAAATCAGGACTAATTTTTCACAAATAGCTAACAAAAGCAAAAGTAAAAAAACAATCAGTTGGATCATCCTAAAATCGATTCAATTAATGATACCATTCTCTATAAGGATATGTATTTATTTAGAAAAACTAAAATTATATAGATTACCCACCTGTAAGCTCTTCCTTTGTTTTATCTACTTCAGATAATTTAGTGTAAATTTGGTTTCTTTCTCCTTCTAGGGTTTTTAAAGAAGCATTTAACTTTAAGGAATAGAAGAAGTAAAAAAGGAACATAAGTCAGTTATACAATAAAAAATAAATAAATAAAACCTCAATATACCACCCCCAACCCTTTTGAAACTATTTTATTATTTTGATGAAATTATCACGTAGAATGCAGAAACCAACAATGCAGCTTCCATCTTAGAAAGCTAGTGAAGTTATCAATAGGTGTAAACCTTAGAACAGGGACAGAGAAAACAGTGAATGCTTTTCACTGGAAGCTTACAACAGCGGCTACTCTCACTTTATTTATTTTCAACACAAGCTTTGATTAAGGAAGCCTTCAAACTACATTACTAAGACTTCACATAGATCAGCAATGATCTGTATACCACTACTAGTGTGGAAAAGAGAGGGAATAAACCAGAAGAAAACGAACCTAGTATTTACTTCTCAGAATAACATATGGGGCAGTAGGGAAAAGAAAATACTGAGACCAGAAGAAAAGGAATGTACCAAGGGAATTATGAGATAAAGCAGAGTAAACATTTTAAACATATTCCTTATCTGAAGAAATGAGTGCAGAACTTGAAAATGTTCATCTCGATAAATTGTAGAAATTAACTATATGAGTTTTTAAAGTTAACATAAAGTATAAATTGATAAGGAAAATTCTGATCACTTCCTAAATACACTTATATGGGAACAATAAAATGGACTTTTTTTTTTTTTTTGTCTTTTGTCTTTTTTCCGTGTCCGGCAACGGATCGCAACCCTCAGTGTTGCCCCCGTACCGGACCCGGGACCGGCAACGGGATCGCAAGCCTCGGTGTTGCTCCCGCGCCTCGCTCAGCCAGTGAGCGGGAACCGGTCTGTATATGGGATCCGAACCCTCAGACGGGAGCACCGTCGCGCTTCCCAAGCGGCGCACTATCCAGTGCGCCACCGGGCCGGCCCATAAAATGGACTTTTAAAATCTGTGTTCTATTTCTTCCTCCATATTCTTTGCATTTATGTAATAATGCAAACCTGAGCAGCATGAATCAGCTTCTTCAAAGCTCCTTTTGGCTGATTATCTATAGTGAAAAACAAAAACATAACAATGATTTTGGAAAACAGTACAGTACCACGACAAACATCCAAATGATTTTATTAGTCCATTCAACCAGAGTCTTACAATCCCTCTTCTTGCTACAATAAAGAATTTGGTATAAGGCAAAACAGTTGGGCCTGCTTCCAGGAAACTAAACAATAAAAGCATTGGAAGTGCCATATCATTTGGCAAGGTTCTTCAGCACTAACTCCAAGAAAAGAGTTATAACAAGGATTCAGTGTTGACCTAAACACAGACCACAGTCTGAACTATTCTTTGATTCTTACAGCATCCAAATGAGTGGAATTATAACCCAAATTAAAATAACAATAAACAAGCATGAGTTTTCTCTATTAGAAAAAGAATTATTTCTTACATGATAAAGTAGAAGTAAAAAAATACAAACAGAACTTTATATATTTACTTTGGGAATGTAATTTTCTCCCAACATATTAATGCTACTGTAAAAGAAAAATTTTTTAGATAATCACACCTGTTCCTCCTTAATAAATTTATTAATTATACAAGGGATGGGGGAGAGAAAAGAGAAAGGACATAAAAGAAGTACCTCTGGGGGATACTGGGGGAAGGGTACATGAAACCTTTCGTACCATTTTTGCAACTTCCTGTGAATCTATGAGAATACTTCAAAAAATCTGTGGGAAAATAGAATTCAAAGATAATACAAAATTTTCCATAAACTTTTCAAAGTACCCTCATATAATTATTTCAAAATAAAAAGTTGGTATTTTGGGGGGGGGGGATAATTTTAATTTATCAATATACAATGTAGTTGATTTTCATGTCCCTTTTACCAATTCTTCCTTTTCCCTCTTTTTTTTTTTTTTTTTAAAGAAAAAGGAATTAGCTTGAGAACACAGTGAGTGGCTATAGTGAACCTAACTTTTGCCAACTCCAGACTGCAACCAGCAATGGCAATAACAATTTGGGAAGGCCAGAGGTTAAAGTACTGTAACCATCTGAATGAACTCTTTGACTACAGCAAAAAAATATCCTGAAGTATTCATTTATGTAACAATCATTTTTCAGACCAGTCACCCAGCCATGTGATTAGCTTACAGTACAGGTAAAAAGAGACATACAAATGATTATGATGCAATTTTGAAAACTGCTGTAATGAAGGTATATGTAACATATAAAGAGAAGAGAGGGAAAAGAGGCTGTAAGTCTGTCTGAGGAGTTGGAGAAAGAAAGATTTACTGAAAAGGCGGTATTCAAACTGAAGCTAAACTATAAGGCATGATGAGAGAGGGGCAGAGTGTTGCAGACAGATGGACAGAATGTGCCAAAGTACAATTGTATAAAGAACATGTACACATGGGAACAAAAAGGAAATAGAAGAGCTAGTCACCATTTTAGCAAAAGAGGGTAAGTCATGACTTAATACCTAAGTGAGCACCATTTTGTGATTCACTCTTCATTTCCAATTCCAAGTTATCATCCATTACTTCTTCTCCAAGCACAGCAGCCCAATCTTTCATCTTTAGCAAGCGTTCAGTCAGAGACTTGACATTTAGCAAAAGGGAGGAAAAGAGAGAGAGTAATGCCTCATGCTAATGGCTTTATAACTTCTGAATGCACACTTGTAGTTTGAGAACCGACGCACATAAATAATATATGAACTCTTACTTTCCACCTATTAAGATATATAAATAGCCTTAACAACTACAGCATTTATTGACTATTAAACTCTATGATAAAAACCCAAACAAGTTATTCCTAAATCAGATACAATACTTGATAATGGACCATTCTTGCTAAATATATCATCTGACTACAACGTAGTAAAATATTTTCTTGTATGACATTTCTCACATATCACAAATAAGAGTGGCCATTAAGATGAGAATAAATTTTGTGTGATATCAAACAAATCTGCAAATGAGACATATGATGTATAAACAGATAACAGATTTTTACTTTATTCAAGTAAACAACTAGCTAAGGAGTTTGAAATAAAGAAAAAGATATTATAAGAGAATCTAAAAGGAAACATTACAGGTTTTCCTAGAATGCTTTTTAAATTTTCTTGAATAAAGGAAGATTTACTAACACTATAAATAACCAAATGGCCGGACACATCTAAAAAACCCACCCTGCTCTACAATTTTCATCCTTCAATCTCCTCCCTCTCTTCAAAATTCCAGGCACAAATAACGTGGCCTAGAGCTTTCGAACAGAGCTTGAAGTTAGCATCTCATTCTTGTTCTGTATAGGGAGAATCCCAAGCCCATTAGTAAAGTAAGTTTAGGGAAAAAATATAACAATATGCCAAAAATTTTTTTTTCCTTGACCAGTAAGGGGGTCACAACCCTTGGCTCAGTGTGGTCTGCACCACGCTCAGCCAGTGAGTGCACCGGCCATCCCCATATAGGATCCGAACCCACGGCCTTGGCGCTACAAGCACCGCACTCTCCCGAGTGAGCCACGGGGCCGGCCCACAATATGCCAAATTCTGAATAAAACTCCTAAAGCTGGAATCTTGAAAACATTCTTAGTAGCAACATAACTAGCATAAAGGCATAGCTTTAAATATATCAACATCTACTTCACTGTGTGGACTACAGAATATTAGTTTTACATCTCATTACTTGATACTCACACATGAGTATCTGTGTGAAGCCTGAAAGGGTAAGATTTAAAGACTATGTCAGGAAAAAGGGGTTGGGAGGGGGGACAAGAAGTACAAAAGAGTAAACAAATCCTAACAGTAATATCAATTATTTTATTCCTATGATTAGGGTCAAGTTTCAATTAAATTTATTTTTTTTAAATATTCATCTCTGTGAAAATACATACACAAGCTAGTCTAAGTATTAAAAACATTCAGTCAAAACACGTAACTTTAACTATCTGTCCAATTTCTCAAACTCTTTCCAACCTCTTCTTACCAACAGAAGCAGATGGCACCCTAAAGAGAAAAGGTAAAAACTATTCCTCTTTAATACCTAGGCTAAAATACAGAAGAGAGGAAAAAAGAACACACTGAATCTTGATATATATGCTACAAATCTGTAAATCTTCAAGCAGTCTTTGAAAATCTGGCCAAATACATTATGAAAATAAAAGGTGCTAAAAACAAAAGTTTTCAAATTTTAGAGTTAGTATAAAATTCTAGACAAATCAGTCACTTAAACCAGTAGAGCCACTTACCTTGATGTGATTTTCTTTATCACTTAGAACTTGCTCTGCATGTACTTTGGAGTCTTCAAATGTTATTTTCTGTTTATTAAGTTCATTCACTTGTTCTTTCAATACTTCAGCTTCTTGCAAAAGCTGAAATTGAAATAAAAAAAAAAGCAACTTATCATACTTAAGTGTAGTTGTACTTATTTATATATTTGGGTGCATTGTTAAGAGATATTGAAAAGGCATTGTACTGCCATGTTAAAAAAAAAAGACATGGCTCCTGTTTTCAAAGAATTTTCAAAATAGAGGTGTGTAAAATAATAGACACAAACATTTTTCAACGGGTTTACATAATAAATTTATATCAGCTAAAAGTTTTTCTAACTTATATATATATATATATCTGTTAGATTTGGTCATTTCTTACCATTCCTTATATCCCATATAATATGCCACACCTCACTTGCATTAAAAAAATTTTTTTTAATCATTGTGCTGTCTTATAGTTAAGATAACTAATCTTTAGGAATACCATTAATCTAGAACAGATCAATTTCTTCATAAATAATATTCTATATAAACACTTTTTTACAGAAAAAAAAAACCTTTCTGAACATGACACAAAAAGTAAAGATCGTGACAAAAGATAGACTTGACTATAGAAAACTTAAAATCTTCACAAATCAAATTATAACACAAAATTAAAAAACAAATAACTAGAAAGGAATTCTTAAATGTAGCAAAGGGTTAATAACCTTAGCATACAAATAGCTCTTAGAAGTCAGTAAGAAAAATAGGCAAAATAAACAAACAAATCAAAAACTGTGCAGACAATTCACTAAAGAAATGGCCCCAATATAGTCAACCCTCTGTATCCATAGGATCTGCATCTGTGGATTCAACCAAACAGGAAGCAAAAATACTTGGGGGGGGGGGGGATTGGTCTCTGTACTAAATATCTACAGACTTTTTTTTTGTCATTATTCCCTAAACAACACAATATAACAACTATATACATAGCATTTACATCGTATTAGGTATTTTACATAACCCAGAGATGATTTAAAGTAGGATGTGCATAAGTTATATGCAAATACTATGCCATTTTATAAAGGAACTTGGGCATCCTCAGGTTTTGGTATCCAAGGGAGATCCTGGAATCAATCCCCCATGGATAGACACCAAGGGACAACTGTACTCATGTATGAAAGAAAAGTCCATATTTATTTAAAATCCTTAAAACTCTATTCTATCAAACAGTAATTACTGGATTTCTCTGCAAAATTAAGGCTTTATTAGTATATTTCCTACCACACAAAGAGCATATTTCCTAATCCTTTTCTATACACATGACAAAACAGATGATACTGACAGGTAAAAACAAATGAGGACTAAAGAAAAAACTTGGATTTGGTGTTAGGTGGTCTCCAGTAAGTAACTAAGGAGATTGAGTATACAACATACAGTCTTAAAAGGTTAGGAAAGAAGTGTACTAGAACATGGCATCAGAGAATACAGAATAATTTTTGTCTCAAGACTTTGGTGATTAAAAAGGAGTTAGATGAAAGTAGTTGTAAAGAGTAAGAAAATCTATGTGAAATTTTTTCTCAAGGTTGAAAAGGCCACTTTTGATTATAACATGGCAAATTTAACACAGTGTTTACCACCTCTGAAATCTACTAAGATGACAGAAAAGAGGTTTTTCTTGTGTGTGTTTTTTTTTTTTTTTTTTGAAGGCATAAACTCACAAGGAAAAAAGAATAGGAGATGAGACAAAAGATAACTGAAGAAGTAGAAACTGGAAAGAGATGGAAGTGTGGTAAAAAAAACTCAGCAGACCAGAGAGAGCTGAAATCTAAACCAGAAGATGGGAAAGCAAAAAGCAAGCTGATGTGAAACAACCTAGAAAAGCTCATAATTAAAAGGCACAAGGACTAGGGGTATAAAATGGACTGGAAAAAAAAGAGGACTGGCCAAAAGTTTGTATAAAGAGCCCCCCATATTATCCCAGCACATGTATACACACACCAGCTGGGGCAACAAATGGCAGAGCCTCACTATTAAGACTAAGAAAGTTGTCCAATGGCTGCTTCTCAGAGAATACAGGATTATAACTCATATCAGCATTCTTTACTTAAAAGAAGGTGAAAATTCTAATGGCAAGGTTATACTAAAGATTATCCAAAGGTTTACTCATAAAGTATATTCTTATGTAAGTTGCGTAATAACTTCGTATAGCATACATTATACGAAGTTCTCTGTCTCTGTCTCTGTCTCTCTCTCTCTCTCTCACACACACACACACACACACACACAGGTAAAAGTCTAAAGAGTTATTTTTTAGAGAGATGGAATCTGATACTCTAGGACATCCAGCCCAGGTGAAGGCAGGAGTAAAATACTGAAAATATAAAAGTATTAAGTGAAAGTCGACTTCCTGAACAGTATGAAACCAGCACTCCTCACCTCACTGAGCTGCAAGACTACTGGCTAACAGGCTTACACCACCCAAATGGGAACTGTGGAGGACTCATCCCTGTGAAAATGTTCTTCAGATAACAACAACTGGGAATCTTCCAATTAGAAACACCCTAGCCAGATTATTCTACAGAAAAGCCCACCAGTGACACACATGGAGCTTCCAATTAGATTTAGATAGCTCCACTATTAAATGAGCAGACAGCTATGAACCACCAAACATCTGAAAAAAGAACCTTTAAATAAGACATAGATGAAAGCAGAAAATTAAGGAACTCAAAGGAAATAAGGCAGCTCAGGGAACAGAAAAATACTTTTAAAAAACCCTACAAATGTCCTCAGCAAGATAAGACATTATATCCACGAAACAAGAAAAAGGCATATCAAAACAAAAAGAATCACACAAATGAAAGGTATCAGAAAAAATGAAGTTCCACAGAGACAAAACAAATAGGACATTTTCAAATAATTATATAAATTATCCCCCCCAAAAATGCATGAAATAATTCAACTAAATTTCCCAGAACTACATCAAGAGCAAGAGTCTCCAGACCGAAAGTATCCAATACAGAGTAAGAAAACAGACACACACCAAGGCACATTATCAAGAACTGGAAACAATGAACAGATATTAAAAGCTTCCAGGAAAGAAAAGAGCAGATCACAAAAAAGGTTCAATAATCTGAATAGCACTTGACTTCTCAAAAGCAATACTGGAAAGTGACAACAATGAAGCGATAACGTAAAAATTTTGAGGAAAAAAATATTTCAACCCAGAAGATATCCAACCAAAATATCAAAAAGAATGAGAAAAAAAACAAAACATTTTCAGGCATGCAAATTCTAAAAAAAAAAAAATTACATCCTAGACCTCTTTCTCAAGAAGCTAATCAAAAGAACTGGCCACAAAAGAGCAACTCTTAGATACAGGAAAGAGAAGATCCAACATGGAAGAAAGACAAGGGGAATATTCATTAGGAAGGTGAAGTGAAATCTCAGGAAAACAGAAGCATAACAGACCTAGAGAACACGTTCTTATCGGACCAGGAAGATACAAGGCCCCAGGAAGAACTGCTTCAAGAAAAAAATGAAATAAATAAATGAAATACTTTTAACGAAAGCATCTGAATGCATGAATAAGATATTTACAACTCTGGAAGAGAACATCCAGATAAATTACAGATAGATATGCAGAAAACAAAATAATTATAAGTCTAGAGAAAATAAAGTGTTGGATAAGACCAAATATGTCATCAGAGCACACCACGTTGTTCAGATATGAGTAATGTTTAGAGAATCAAAATAATGTTATCACTGAAAAATTTTCCTACAAAAAATTATAATTATACTGGGAAAACAGAAGAGAAGAAATAATATGTGGGTGTGTGGGAGTGTCTATACAAGGTACTTCAAAAAGTTCATGAAAAGATTTGTATTATCTTTTAATTCTGTTTTTCCATGAACTTTCTGAAGTACTCTCATATATGTGGGGAAGAAAGAGGGAAAAACCTAAATCCTCATTTGATCTGCCACCAGAACTTTCATTTTTAGGACCCTGAACTGTAACTTCAATAATCCTCTACGGTATTTTTTGTCTTAGTCTGGCTTTGAGGAGTTGGTGATAAATGCTATTTGCTATTTTAACTAAAATGCTAAATGCCCTGGCTTACTTTCACTCCTGAGGGAAGAGGGTGCCAGAAGTATTCACCTTTGTATTCTGTACAAAAGAGACACCAATGTATGTGTGGGAAATTGTCTTGCTCTCGTGTTCTCCGACACTAGCGTGGGTCAGTCATGAGTATGACCAGAACTTAATTAACTTTTATAAGTTGAAGAGGCCCTATAGAGTACAAACCTGTTCCTGGCTTTCCTGAAGTTGGGAATTTTCATTCAAAGCATCTTTCATTGCCACCTTCAGACGTTCTTCATTCATTTGAAATATTTTGAAGGTTGTTTTGGCCTAGGCAAAACAAAAAATATCAAGTTTATTACAATTAATTTAACTTAATATAACAGCTCATCTTTACATATACCCCCTAGAACATGGAATTAAACAAAGGCAAAATGATGCCACATTAATAACAGAGGCAGCATGGTATACAGAAAAGTGGCTGGCCTAGAATCAGGGTCTAGTCCTGGCTCTGCCACTAACTTGCCATGTGACCTTGGACAATGATTTAATCTCTTGTAACCTTCTATGTACTATGGAGCAATTTTTGTCAACTATTTATTCTGTGTCTCCACTACTAAAATTTAAATTCCATGAGGGCTTTTTTGTCTATTAATGTTAAGTGCCAAGTACCTTCAACAGTGTTCAATATATAGCAATAGCTCAATAAATACTTATCCAGTGAAAAAATAAACTTTTTCTGAAGTAACTCATGGAAAAAAACTCATGTCTAAGACTGCCTATTTCTCAAATCCTAATATCTTATTCCTTAATAATAAAAACAACAATAAAATTATATGATTTTCAGAAATATAATTTTAGAAATTAGTCTAACAGACCTACTACACGAATTCGACTTACTTCAGCTACTTGTGATTTGATGCATTTTGATTCATTTTCTAGGGACTGTATCTGTTTCGAAATATCTGCCATCTGTGAAGACAGTATCAGTCAATAAACAAGTATTTACCAAACTCTTTCAGTTTCCAAGGTGCCACATACACATATAAGATATATTGTTAACCTGGCTGGCCGGTTAGCTCAGTTGGTTAGAGTGCAGTATCATAACACCAAAATCAAGGGTTCAGATCTCCATACTGGCCAGCCGCCAAAAAAAAAAAAAAACTAGATATATTGTTAACTTAACATTTTTGCTCCATAAGTGAGGGCTCAAATTAAAAACCTTCTCAGTTCATTTAGCTATATGATTAAAGGAACTTTATATGAAAGTTACATAACAACAGTATCTCAACTTAAATATTATATAAGCTCAACATAAGTCCACCAATATCATATTTTACTAAAGATATGAGGCTCATACATCAAGATTTTCCTTAAGCCAGATTTTAAAATAGAAAGACTAAGTTATAATGTTCTTAACATAACTTTTAATAAAAAATATCCACTATGTATATGAATACTCAACTCAAATTTATTTCTATCAGCCACTTCCATAGGGCATATAGAAAATTTCTGTAAGAATATGCAAGAAGCTTAACATTTAACATGGTAACATCTAAGAAGTGAAAAGAGTGTATCTGGAAAATTTTGCTCTCCTGCATTCTTTGCATTTTTTACAATGCATGTAATACTTTAACCAATACATTAATTTTTGAAAAAGCAAGTTACTGAGTATATTCTCCTCAAATACAAAAACCTACCAATTCATCTTGTTCAGAGTGTTTAGATTTCTGTTCTTTTAATTCTTTTTCTAGAAATAGTATTTCATCCTCAAGTTTAGATTTGGACCTGTTCAGCTTTTCATAGGTTGCCTAAAAGAGAAAGCCAACTTTATAAAACAGACATGGGAATTTTTGATTACAGGAAATCAGATCAGTATAATCAAACATATATACTAAAAGTTAAATAAATTTAGCTTATATATTTGCTCATTTTTAGAACATTAAAATAACAGCAACTCTAGGGGTAAGCAAACTTCTTCTGTAAATTGCTAGAGAATAAATAATTTAGGTTTATAGGCCATGCAAACAACTATGTCACTGTAGTGAGGAACAACGACAATACCTAAACAAATGAGTATGTCTGGGTTCCAATAAAGTTTTTTTTAAAAACAGATGAAGAGTTTGCTAAGCATAGTTTGCCAACCTCTGCTCTTAAAGCATTAAAAATTAAAAAATGAGAAATAAATCCAGTTTAATATAATTAAAGACATGATAACATAAAAAAATAAATTCAAAAACCAAAATAAATAAGATAAAATTAAGATTGCTTCATGGTAATATTCCACATTAAATTAAGACATATTTTCTATGACCTTTTTAATTTAAAATTATTAGTTACTGGATTACTTAAATATAATTTTAAATACTTTACTAAACATACCTCTGATATTTGTGATCCTTCAACAAACTTTAAAAAAAAAAACCAAAAAAACCAGAAGATTCTAAGAATTTAATGCAGAACTTGTTTATATATATTTTCCCAAATTTATCTATTTCATTATAGGAATTCTCTGACTTGAATCAAAATTACTCTATTGGTTTGATTTTATTTACACATTCAACCATCAAAATTTTTTAAAATGCATCACCTTATAGTTTATAATCAATTATGATTACTATTCCTAAAAAGAAAAACCATATGTTAAAAAAATTTCTAAAATCAGAGAAAAATTTCCAAAATGGTCAATTCAGCGAAAAATTCAGCTAATTTTACCACTAGATTATCTAAATTCATTGTCTTCAGAATAAATTGGTATATTTTACTTTACACCAATATGACAGCACTTCAAAAAGTTCATGGGAATATGGAATTGAAAGACAACAAGAATCTTTCCATGAACTTTTTGAAGACTCCTCGTGCTACCAAGCTTGAGTAAATGTCTTTGCAACCCAGTTTTTGCTCATTAACTTGCTAAATGCCTTCTGAAATTATTTTTATTTATCAACATAATAAATTACCACCGAGATAGTAGTTAAAACAAATAAAATATAACAATTTCAACAAGTTCTTGAGGCTATTAATAGGTAACAAATGAAAAAAGAAAAGATTAAGAAATTCATTTTATTTGAAATCCAGTTTATAACTTCCTTGGATTCTGCTAGGAAAATTCTGAATCGTGACTCATTAGACTTTCTGATGATTACAGACATGAGTGATGGAAAACTGCCAAGCTGCACTGACCATGTACACCAAAGGCACAAGGTCTACTGTTTTATACTTCAATGCTAGCAGAAGCAGGCTTCCCCTCCTGTCCTTTGTCACTACTCTGCTTTTTATACACTTCCATTTCTGAAGAGTAGTAAGGCACTCCTATCACTCTAATCCGTCTTAGTTTAGCTAAATTAGGAATTCCATACTTTCTTTCCTTACAATTATCCAACTTACATCTAGCACAGTGAAGCCAACTGTGTATTTCTCTTCCAAACTCCTCATTCAGTGACATTATGTTGGTAGCTTAAAACTGGCCACGGTGGCAGTATTTCTACCACAGAACTCAGCAAATGCTACAAATAAAGTTTTCTGCTTTTTAGAGAGCTAGATGTTAAACATTTACCAGCACACCACTACTTCTAATATAAACTTTGGTCTAACCTTTGGCTAGCTCCTACTATCCTGGAGATGATGTAACAATTTACATACTTTAATATTGCCAATCATTCCTAAATTTATGAAAATAAATCCTCTTTTTCCTTCTTGGGACAAACTGAGTCAAAAAAGGAATGGGTACCATAATGCATTTCCCAGGAATTAAAGAATAAAGAGCTCCACATACAGTTCTTCTATATAGCTCTAGATTGCAATGAACTGAATGTCTCACTCAAAACAAGTTAGCAACAGCAGCTCAAATTTTTAAAATATTTTATGCTACCAACTAACGTTCTATTTCCTATATTTAACTTTTTTATTTAAGTTTTAACATACAGAGATGCTCTTTCACATTTCTTTAAAGTATTTAGTTTTGAGAAGATATATTACTTTTAAAGTTTATGTTATTTAGTAAGAATCTTTTCTCTGATTTTTGAAATTAAATCATTTGGTTTTTACCTCCAAACTTTGTGCTTCTGTTGACTCCTTCTCAAAGCTGGCATCCTTCAAAGCTGACTCTAAGCCTTCATACTGAAACAAAACAACACAGTAAGTAAAAACTCTACAAATTAGTCCAAATTTTATCTGGACATATGCCTAGAAAGCAGAAAGAATACATTTCTACGTGTACATTAAATTTATTTGGATTTCAGGCCGGCCCGGTGGCGCACTGCTACAGTGTGCCGCTTAGGAGTGCGGCGGCGCTCCCGCCGAGGGTTCGGATCCCACATACAGACCGGCCGCTCACTGGCTGAGCGAGGTGCAGGCGCAACACCGAGGGTTGTAATCCCGTTGCCGGTCCCGGTCCGGTACGGGCACGACACTGAGGGTTGCGATCCGTTGCCGGTCACAAAAAAAGACAAAAAAAGGAAAAAAAAAAATTTATTTGGATTTACTTAGCTTTAAGTTCTTCAAATCTGACCATCATAACAAACAAAGCCAGAGCAGCTAACACATCACAACTCACCAGCTGGGGCAACAAATGGCAGAGCCTCACTATTAAGACTAAGAAAGTTGTCCAATGGCTGCTTCTCAGAGAATACAGGATTATAACTCATATCAGCATTCTTTACTTAAAAGAAGGTGAAAATTCTAATGGCAAGGTTATACTAAAGATTATCCAAAGGTTTACTCATAAAGTATATTCTTATGTAAGTTGTTTATTATCCCCTCTGACAAGTTAATCTCCTCTTTAAGCCTGTTTATTAAAAAGAAATTTATAGTAACTGGTCATCAGAAATTTTCACTTTAATTCATATATTTCAACAAATAAAGCAAGTAGAGAATATAAAATCTTTAAAAGATAGAGAACAATCATCAACAAATGAAAAATAAAGACAGTTGGGGCTGGCCCGTGGCTCACTCGGGAGAGTGTGGTGCTGATAACACCAAGGCCACGGGTTCGGATCCCATATAGGGATGGCCAGTTCGCTCACTTGGGAGAGCGTGGTGCTGACAACACCAAGTCAAGGGTTATGATCCCCTTACCGGTCATCTTTTTTAAAAAAAAAAAAAAAAAGAAAAAGAAGGACAGTAAAATATACAATGCTATAAGATTAAGCAAAATGCACTTACTTCAATGCTTAAGAAAAAAGTGATTAAATTGAATGGGCCGGCCCGGTGGCGCACTGGAGAAGTGCGCCGCTTGGGAGCACGGCGGCACTCCCGCCGAGGGTTCGGATCCCATGTGGAGACCAGTTCCCACTCACTGGCTGAGCGCGGTGTGGGTGCAACACTGAGGGTTGTGATTCCGTTGCCGGTCCCCGGTACGGGCATGACACCGAGGGTTGCAATCCCATTACCGGTCAGTAAAAAAGACAAAAAGGAAAAAAAAAAAAAGTGATTAAATTGAAGACTAGGTTGTTTTGGATCAACCTGCTAAGAACAAAAAGTGCTGGACAAAAATACCAAAAACAGGGGGCCGGCCCCGTGGCTCACTCAGGAGAATGCGGTGCTGGCAGTGCCGAAGCTGCGGGTTCGCATCCCAGAAAAAAAAATAATAATAATACCAAAAACAGGATCTGTCTAAAGGCCTCAGAGAGCTATCAAAACAGTAAGAATTTGTGACAGAAGAAGGAATTCCCAGGAAGACAAGTCTAGCATTTCTTTTCCCCTGAAAGTAGAAGCTGATAGGCTGTGAAACTGAGCACAGATTTCAGAAGAATCAGAAGCTGAGAAGACAAAATGTGGAGTTCTGGACCTGACAAATAAGAGGAGCAAGGTAGGTCAGGCTTTAGGATGGGACCCTGTGCTTGGCTGAATAATGACCTTTCTAAAGATGCTTGTGTCCTACTCCCCAGAATTTCCAGGTGTGATTAAGTTAAGGATCTTGAGAAAGTATCCAGAATTATTCTGGTGGGCCCAATATAATCTCAAGGGTCCTTATAAGAGAGAGGCAAGAGGACCAAAGTCAGAAGAGAAGATGATGTGAAGACGGAAGCAGAGATTGGAATGATGCTACTATAAGCCAAGAAATTCTGGCAGCCTCTAGAAGCTGGAAGAGGCAAGGAACAGATTCTTTCATGAAGCCTGCATAAGAAAACTGACTTGCTGATACCTTAATTTTAGCCTGTAAAATTAGACTTCGGCCCGGTGGCGCACTGGATAGTGCGCCGCTTGGGAAGCGCGGCGGTGCTCCCGTCCGAGGGTTCAGATCCCACATACAGACCAGCTCCCGCTCACTGGCTGAGCAGGAGGCGCGGGAGCAACACCGAGGCTTGCGATCCCGTTGCCGGTCCCCGGCCCGGTACGGGGGCAACACTGAGGGTTGCGATCCGTTGCCGGACACGGAAAAAAGACAAAAGACAAAAAAAAAAAAATTAGACTTCTGGCCCCCAGAATTATAAAAATATTAGTTTGTGTATTACAGCACTAAGTTTGTGGTAATTCGTTACAGCAATCAAAACTGGCTACCTGAAAACAAAAGTCTAAATCAGAAAGACTGCAATATTGTGAAAATATATATTTTGTCTTCATCCATCTCCTGGCACACAATTCCTAAAACCCACAGAATCTCCCAAGTGCTGTCTTATTGTATGCTTATGAGTTGATAATTGGCTGGCAGCCCCTAGGTAACTTCAGGATGGGATCTGGTCACAGAAAAGACCAAGGCATTCCCATCCCAGCAACTTCTAGGTTAAGTTGATCACCAATGGTCAGTAATTTAATCAATCACACCTATGTAATGAAATGCCCATAAAAACTCAGAGGGATAGGGTTTGGAGAGCTTCCAGATGGCTGAACACATGGAGGTAGAGGTTCCTGGAGGGTGGCATGCTCAGGGACAGCAAGGAAGCTCCGCACCCCTTCCCCCATACCACACCCTATGCATCTCCATCTGTATCCTTTATACTATCTTTTATAATAAACCGGTAAACTAAGTATAAGTGTTTCCCTCAGTTCTATGAGCCATTCTAGCAAACTAACCAAACCCAAGGAGGGGGTTGTGGGAACCCTGATTTATAACTGGTCAGTCAGAAGTTCCAGAGGCCTGGGCTTGAAACTGACCTCTGAAGTGGGGCAGCCTTGGGGACTGAGCCCTCAACCTGTGGGCTCTGATACTATCTCTAGGTAGATAGTGTTGAAATTGAATTGAATTAGAGGATATCCAGCTAGTATCCTATGGAGAATTGCTGGCTTGCTTGCTGGTTGAGTGAAATCTCTACACATTTAGTCACAGAAGTCTGTCTTTTGTGTTGATGATTGTGTTGTAAGAGCAGGGGAAAAAACACCTCATTCCTAAACACAGACTAATCCTTTGAACTGAGACCCAGCTTCCAAACATCTCAATCTGTTATTAAAGTAATTTAAGACTTCTAATGTCCCTAGCCTAGTTGCCTATGAGAAGCAACAGTAAATCTTCACTGGAGAAACACATTGCCCACAGCTTCAAAATTATCTCTACAATTTTTATTATCCTATCACTGATACTCAGCATAAAGTAACCTGGCACTCAGGAAGAAAACACTTGTCTGAGAACCAAAAGAAAAAAATGAGCAATAGAAATAAACTACTGGAGGGCTGGCTGGTTAGCTCAGTTGGTTAGAGCATGGTGTCGTAACACCAAGGTCAAGGGTTCAGATCCCTGCAATGGCCAACCGCCAAAAAAAAAAACCAAAAAAGAAAGAAACTACTCGATTATGTACATAATGGAGTTGTCAGTTGGACATCATACTAAGGGAGCTTAATATGTAAAAGGAACTAAAAAATAACATTGACCCAGAGAAAAAGAACTACAAAAAGAGCTGCATTGAAAGAGTAGAACTGAAAAAGGCAATAAATAAAATTAGTATCTCAATGGATGATTTAAAAGAGGATCAGATATAGATGAAGACAAATGGAAGATAAATCAGAAAAAAGAACCACACTCAAATGTGGACCAAAAAAATGGAAAATCCAGAAAAGAACATAAGAAACATACGGCAAAACAAAATGTTAAAATACACATATTTAGAGTTCCACAAGAAAAAAGGGGCAAAAACAATAACTGAAAAGGCAATGATCAAGAGTGTTCCAAAATGAATGAAAGCCATTAAGAAATAGATTCTAGAAGCATCATGGACCCCAAGAATAAATAGAAGAAACCATATCTAGACAAGCAATAGCAATACTGCTGAAAACTAAAGACAAAGAGGAAATCATAAAAGTAGCCAGGAAGTTTCTTATAAACTTAAGCTATACCTGCCCTAATAACCCACCAATCCCAATTCTAGGAGGTATTTACTGAAGAGAAATGAAAACACATACCCACAAAAAAATACTCTATAAAACCTTTTAGAAGGAAACACAGGTGTAAATCTTTGTGACCTTGGATTACACAATGGTTTCTTAGATATGACAGCAAAAAACAAAATTAAAAATAAACTGAACATTATCAAAATTAAAAACTTTTATGCTTCAAAAAACACCACCAAGAAAGTGAGGGAACAACCTACAGAAAGGGAGAAAATATTTGCTAATACGTGTCTGATAAAGAGCTTGTAAATAGAATACATAAAATCAAAACTCAGTAATAAGAAAATAATCCAATTTAAAAATAGGCAAAGAAACTGAATAGACTTTTCTCCAGAGAAGATACACATATGGCTAATAAGCACATGAAAAGATGCTCATTATAAGCTATCAGGGAAATGCAAATCAAATCCACAGTGAGATACCACTTCACACCCCTAGAATGGCTATAATCAAAAAGATAACAAGTGTTGGGAAGGATGTGAAACAATTGGAACACTCACAAACTGCTGGTGTGAATGTAATATGGTGCAGCCACTATGGAAAACAGTTTGGCAGTTCTTCAAAAAGTTAAATACAGACACAGAAATTCCATGCAGTATTAGTCAGTTTTCTGTTGCTTACAACAAAATATCTGAAACTGGGTAATTTATAAAGAAATGGAATTTATATATTTCTCACAGTTTTGGAGGCTGGGAAGTCTAAGGTCAAGGGAGTGCATCTGGTGAGGGCTTTCTTCTGGGTGGGAACTCTGCAGAGTCCTGAGGTAGTACAGGGTATTACACAGTGAAAGGGCAAGAGCGTATGTTAACATGCTCACTCGCTCTTCTTAAAAAGCCACCAATGCCACTCCTGTGATAACCCACTTATCCACTAACCCATTAATCCATTAATCCATGAATGGATTAATCCATTTGTAAAGGCATAGCCCTCACAATCCGATCATCTCCAAAGGCCCCACCTATTAATACTGCCACACTGGGGATAAGACTTCCACATGAACTTTGAACAGTACAAACATTCAGACCATAGCACACTCCTAGGTGTATATTCAAAAGAATTGAAAACATATGTCTACACAAAAACTTGTACTTGAATGTCATTAGCAGCATTATTTATAACAGCCAAAAATGGAAATAACCCAAATAACCATCAACTGATAAATGGATATATAAACAGTGGTATGGAAGATTACTTGGCAAGAAAAGAAATTAAGTACTACAACAGAGATGAAACAACAATTCTTTGGGGTATACACTTAGGAGTAGAATTGCTATGCCTGTGTTTAACATTATGTTGAGTGAAAAAAGCCAGTCATTAAGATTCACATGTTGTATAATTCCATTTATGTGAAATGTCCAGAACAGGCAAATCTATAGAAACAGAAAGTAGATAAGTTACCTGGGGCTTTGGGACGGGGGAGATTGGGTGAAGAATGATAGCTCAGGGGTTCAAGGTTTCTTTTTTGGGTTAATAAAAATGTTTAAAGGTTGACTGTTGTGATGGATGCACAACTCACGAATATACCAAAAGTCATTCATTTACCACTTTAAATGGGTGAATTATATGGTATGTGCTATGGGTTGAATATGTCCCCCAAAGGGTCATCTATTAGAAACTAAATCCCCACTGTGACAGTGTGAAGAAGGAAAGAGATCTTATTATGGTAATTGAAAGGTGGGGCCTTTAAGACATGATTAGATTGTAAGAACTGTACCCTTATGAATGGATTTTGAGTCATTCATGGAGTAATGGGTGTGTTCTGATGGGTTTATAAGGAGAGTGAGTGAGCAGATTAACTTTCTCTTGCTCATGCCATCTCTTGCCATGTGATACCCTGCATCACTATAGTGACCACCAAGAAAAAGGCCCTCGCCAGATGTGCCACCTAGACACCTCCGTAGTGTAAGAATTAAATTTCATTTCTTTATAAATTACCTGGTTTCAGGCAGTCTGTTATAAGCAACAGAAAATGGACTAATACAGTATGAAATTATATCCTAATAAAGCTGTTAGAAAAAATATATACACCATTAACAATAGTTTCAAAAACATCAGATACCTGGGAATAAATCTAAGAAAAGATGTGCAAGACCACAACACAAAATGTATAAAACAATAATGAGAGAATTTTTAAAAGATATAAATAAAAGAATGTACCACAGTCTCTGGGTAAGAACTTAACACTATAAAAAGGTCAACTTTTTCCAAATTGATATATATAGTCAATGTAATCCCAATCAAAGTCCTAGCAGGCTGTGTACAAGCATGCACATGTGCATGTGTGTGTGTGTGTGTGTGTGTGTGCATGCCTGTGTGTGTGTGTGTGTGTGTAAAGTGATGAACTGAATTAAAATTTAGATGGAAAGGCAATGTGCCAAGATAACCAACACAATCTCGAAGAAAAATAAACCTGGATGTTTATGCTGTCAGAGAGCAAGACTTGTCATAAAACTACAGTAGATTTAAAAAAAACATGGTATTGGCACAAGAATTAAAAAAAGACCAACAGAACAGAAGTTATCACAGATCACAGAAACAGACTCATGTATTAGGTCATTTGATTTAAGAAGATAAAACTACACAATAGGTAAAAGAGGATCTTTTCAATAAATGGTATTAGCTAATTCAATATCCATAAGAAAAAAATTGAATCTTTACAACCCCCTCCCCCAATTACACCATCACAGATTCAATTCCAGATGAAGCAAAGATTGTTATGGACTGAACTGTGTCTCCTACAAATTCATATGTTGAAGCCCTAACCCCCAAAACCTCAGAATGTGACTGTATTTAGAGAAAGAGCACTTAAAGAGGTGATTAAGTTAAAATGAGGCCATCAGGGGGCCGGCCCGGTGGCGCACTGGAGAGTGCACCGCTTGGAAGCGCGGTGGCGCTCCCGTAGAGGGTTCGGATCCCATGTGGAGACCGGTTCCCACTCACTGGCTGAGCGCGGTGCGGGCGCAACACCGAGGGTTGCGATCCTGTTGCTGGTCCCCGGTGCGGGCGCGACACCGAGGGTTGCGATCGCGTTACTGGTGAGTAAAAAAGACAAAAAGGGAAAAAAAAAATAATGAGGCCATTAGGGTAGACCCTAACCAATCTGACTGGTGTCCTCATGAGAAAAGAAAATTTGGATATACAGAGAAACACCATTAATGTGCACGTGTACAGAGAAAAGACCTATGAGGATACAGCAATAAGGCACCATCTGCAAGCGAAGGAAAGAGGCCTCAGAAGAAACCAAACCTGCCAATACCTTGATCTTGGACTTCTAGCCTCCAGAACTATGAGAAACTAAATTCCTTTTACTTAGGCCACCCAGTCTGTGGTATTTTGTTAGAGCAGCCATAGTAAACTAATACAAAGACTAAATGAGAAAAGTAAAACAGCAGGTTTCTAAAAGAAAACACAAAAGAATATTTTCATATCCTTGGGTAGGCAAAAAATATATTAAGTAGGAAACAAAAGGCAGTCATCATAAGAAAAGATTGACAAATTCAAATATGTTAAAATAAACTTCTGCTTACCAAGACAGCATTTGAAATAAAAAGGTAAGCCACACAGTGAAGAAGATATTTGCAGTACATATATCTGACAGAGGACTCACATATAAAATACAGAAAATTCCTACATATCAAAAAGGAAAAGGACAACCATACCTTTAAAAATGTGAAAAAGACTTGAAAAGGCAACTTCACAGAAAGAATATCCAAATGACCAATAAACATATGAAAAGGTGCACAACCTCATTAGTCAGGGAAACGCAAATTGAAATCACAATGAGGCAAAACTATATACCTACTACAAGGGCTAAAATTAATAAGATTGGTTAAGTGTTGAAAATGAGGAGCAAAAGAACTCTTATACTCTGCAAACAAAGCATTAATAACCCTAAATTGATATAAAAGCATGAAGTTCCCTAATGTGAATGTTATTTTCAAAAATATCTTACCTCCTCTTCAACAACGCTAAATTTTTCAAGTAGTTTACATTTTTCTTCAATTAGTTCAGAAAGCTTTACAGCAAGCTTTTTCTCTCTTCCTAGAAAAAAAAGTCAATATTAACATGAGTGAATTATTTACTATAAGTTTTTAAATTATACACAATAATGAGATCTAAAATAGACAAAAGAGCTTACCTACATAAAGCCGGCTTCTAACCTAAAACAAATTTTTAACAAAAATAGCATTAAAACAAATATACATTCAAGTAAATCTTACTTATTTAATTTCTACTGCTAACTTAAAAATAATGGGATTCTATTGCCCTAGTATGAATATTAATTAGCCAAAAATGTTCTATTTCCAGTGAGGAAAATGCTACATATTAAAGTCTGTGTGTTAGCATATTAAAAGCTCTGAAATAATTTTTACCGTAAAGATACCTGTGTAATTTCATTTAACCCATTGTTCCCCAAACATATTTGTCCCTAAAACAAACTACTCCAGGAAGCCCCTACTATCATCTCTGCTAATGCCAATATCCAAAAAAAGCACACCTGAGAAACGTTACCATAGAGCCATAGATCTGATCTGACTCTAAAGAAACAGGAAACCAAAACTTTTTCTTTAACCTCTTTCTTTCAAATAATGAAGTGGAAAAAATCCATTTCTAAGAGGATCAGACTAAGGGCTGAGGTAACATAACCAGGTAGAAAAGACAAATGGGGACTTAAATCATCTACAGAACATCTATAGAGACAGAATTTAAAGAGAAAAAATTTAGAAGTCAAGGTATAGTAGAATGGGTATAGATGGAGGGTAAATTAGTCAACTAAAACATTTGATTGAGAAACTCTCTAAATAAGTAACGAGAATCATAAAGAAATTGAAAAATAAAAGTTAAGAGATATGGAAGTCAGAAGTAGAAGGGCCAACATCTGAAAAATAGTAGTCCCAAAAAGAGAAAAAAAATTTTAAATGCAGAAGAAATTTCCCACAAGTAAAAAAAGATGAAAAATCTCATATTAAAAGAATTATAAAGGAGAAATAACGGTAAAAAATCATATCTAGACATTATATTGAAATAAGAATATCAAATCAAAAGATTCTAAAAAGCTTTCATAGTCAACAGATCACTTACAAATGAATAAGAATCACACTGACATTAGACTTTCAATCAGTAACATTAGATACAAAAAGACAAGGGAGTAGGTTTTTAAAGTATTAAAAGGATAGAACTTTGGACTTAGAATGCTTATATCCGAACAAATTATCATCCCAGTGAGGACTTAATTCAAATATTCTCAAGAATTCAAAATAAAGTCTCAGAAGATTGCCTAACAAAGACCCACACTAAAATCAACCTTGAAAAAAAGTATTCAAACATTAAAAGAACTAAATCCAGGAAACTCTGCAAGAGATATGTCAATTAAGGGTTACCAAATACTTTGGTAATATTTGTTGTTGTCTTGAAGGTGGGAAAGGAAAGGGGTGGAGGAAAAAGTTAAGATTAAAAAAAAGAAAAAGAGGGCCGGCCCGGTGGCGCACTGGAGAGTGCGCCGCTTGGGAGGGCGGTGGCGCTCCCGCCGAGGGTTCGGATCCCATGTGGAGACCGGTTCCCGCTCACTGGCTGAGCGCGGTGCGGGTGCAACACCGAGGGTTGCGATCCTGTTGCTGGTCCCCGGTACGGACGCAACACTGAGGGTTGTGATCCTGTTACCGGTCAGTAAAAAAGACAAAAAGGAAAAAAAAAAGAAAAAGAGAAATATTTCTTTAATAATCCAGAACTGAAAGTCTAGAAGGTACCAACATGAGAGAGGTTAGAAAGTGGAAGAGGAGACCAAGGGATATGAGAGTGTGCTGAGGTTCTAAGCTTCCTGGCAGAAAGATTTACTTATCAATGTGAAAAGAATTTAAAAGAAATATATAAAATGTGGAACAAATTAATAAACTAAGCTAGAAGAAACTAGTCCAAACATCAATAATCAATAATCACAATATATGTGGCTAGACTGCACTCAGTAGTGAAATAGAGATTGCCAGATCAGATATTTTTAAAAATTCATACAATACACATTAAACAGAAGACCATGGAAAGGAAAAAGACATCAACTATAACTCAAAAGAAAGTTGTATGCCTATATGAAGATCAGATAAAAAAGAATTTACAACAAAAGCATCACTAGAGTTACTGAGGGTCACTAAATATTGATAAGGTTCTATTCACCAAGAAAATATAGCAATTCTAAATATACCAATAACCTCACGTAAAGCAAGAATTGACAGAAAAACAGAAAGTGATAAATCCATCATAACAGTCTTCATTCTTGATAGATGAAGGAAATTAAAAAAAGATTAATAAAACATAATACACAAACACCACAGATAGTCAATTAGGCAAGCTTGACCTAATGGAAGGATATAGAATAATATACATGTATCTGCTTTCAACAATAATTAACGGAATAGAATAATGAGTGCAGAAAAGGTACAGAATGAGTACAAGCTATGGCCACTGCCCCAAGGCCCCAGCAGGGTCCTAAGGCATGGAGCAGGCGGAAGCTGAACCCAGCCGCACTAGGTAAAGAGCACACCAAAACACCACTTCCACGCAGGCAGTTGTCAGGGCTGCCGCAAAAGCAGCTCCTCTCTATAGAAGCAATCAAACACACTGTGCAGAAGCACACCAGACTCTCAACTGCACTAACAGAAGGAGAGGCACCAGTGGAGACCAAAAAAACAAAAAAAGAAGAGGTCCTCTCTCTCCACAAAGCACACTCCAGAGTAACAGAAGAAGAATCTGATTTACAATAATAGGGGAGGACGTTACAAAAAATATTTTTTGTAACAACGAATATGCTAATAAAAAATAAATTAAAAAATAAATAAATAAATAAAATGTGGCATGGCAGATTCAGTAAATGGAGCAGGAAAATAGTTATTCCTTGGGGAAAAAAATTATACTGAATCCCTACAAAAAATTAACTCAAGATGGATCAAGGACTTGAATGTTAAAAGCAAAATTTTTAAATTAAGAATTTCTGTTCAGCAGAAAAAAATTCCGAAGAAAAATGAAAAGATTTTTCATACTGGGGCATTTGCAATACACATAACGAACAAAGATAGCATCCAGAATATATAAAGAACTCCAATAATTAATTAATAATAAACTACTCAGAAAAATTGGCAAAAGACATAAACAAATATTTCCAAGAACAACAAATACATATGGCTAGTAAATTTATTAAATCTCATTAGTGATCAGGGAAATTTATATCAAGACTGTGATAAGTACCATTTAATACCCAAAAATGGCAAAATTCAAGAATTTCAACAAGAAGTGTTGGAGAAAACATGAACCGAATGGATCTCTAGGGTTTCTTATACACTGCTGGTAGGAGTGCAAACTGCTACAGACAGTTTGGAAAAGATTTTGGCATTACCTCTTAAAAGTAGAACTTCTACAAAACATATAATCTAGTAGTCTTATACCTAGGTATATTCCCAAGAGAAACGCTTACAAATATACAGCAGGAGACATGTATAAGAATATACACAGCAGTACTGTTTTTAATAGAAGAAGCCTGAAAACAACCCAAAGGCCATTAAACTGTATAAACTACAGTATATTCTTATAATTTAATATTCTAGAAGAGTCAAAATGGAAAGAACCATAACCCATTCAAAAATATGTATGAATCTTAACAATATAGGATAGAGTAAAAAAAGTTCCAAAGAAGACATATGGCATGATATAAACTAAAATTACATACTATACTTTTGGAGGATAGATGTAAATATGACCCCCCCACTCCCAATTTTACATGCATGGGAATAATCAACACAGGATCCAGAACAGGGTTACCTCTAGTGCAGGGAGGCAGGGAAATGAAATGAGGGAAGATCACCTAAATGTAAGTGACAGTCAATGTTAAGTGACACATTCACAGATGTTTAGTATGCTGTTAAAAACAAACATAGATCAAAATAAATAAGAAGAAATAAAGGTAAAGTTTTAGTATTAGTGAAGAATACTTCTACAAAGAAATTCTTAAAAATTTTTATACTGAAAAAAATTCAGTTTCTAGTAGCAACACATTAACATGAGTAACCCACATAACTACAACCTAACTTCTTTCCTTAAAATAACAAATGTTTCTCATATTACTTGTTCAACCTAAAGCATAATGAATATTCTCTTAGAATAACATTGGTTACTTACCGATTGAAAACATCTCCACGAAAACAAGAGAAAAATAAAAAATCCAGTAATAGCCGCACATATCACCAATTCCCATGGAAAACCATAGAGATTAGGACCTTGCCTCAGATCTTCAGGCAATGCTGCCACAATCTTCAAGACAAAGAAAATTAAGTCCTTAAAAATGCACTTTTGATAAAATATTGATTGAAAACATAGGTACAAGTTTAGATGGTCCACTCTTTTCAGGAAATGGGCTGCCAGACTGACACCAAACAGAAGGTATCAGAGTATATTTTTCTGGCAACTTTCAACCACTATCGCACTAAGTGACGAAGCACAGCAGGGGTGAAATGCAATAGTTTCCAAACTGGAGTTCTACTGAGTGCCGCAAAGCTTCCAAGGATGAGAACAAGAAAGAAAGCCAAAGAAAATAGCCAAGCACCTGGGATTCAGGTGCTCTTACCCTGATTTCAACCAGTTTAGGTTTTATCTGTAGAGTATACTAGGTTCCACATAAGATTTCCCTACAGGAAAAAATAAAATGGATCTGCGGCTCAAAAAAAAAAAAAAAAAGAAAGATAAGTTTGAAAACCGGGCCGGTCTGTGGCTCACTCGGGAGAGTGCGGTGCTAACACCAAGGCCACGGGTTCGGATCCCATATAGGGATGGCCGGTTTGCTCACTGGGTGAGTGTGGTGCTGACACCACCAAGTCAAGGGTTAAGATCCCCTTACCGGTCATCTTTTTTTTTTAAAAAAAAAAAAAGCTTGAAAACCACTGATAGGGTTCTGGGTTTGGAATTTGAATCCTTCCTCTTCATCTCTGTGAGTCCCTTCCTTCTCTTATCTGTAATGAGAATAATGCTATTTGGACATGCAGGACAGGTACTCCATAAAGGGTAACTACTCCTATTATTTCTCCTCCAAAGACCATTATCTTATAACCATGGCCTTTCCACATTACTTCTCTCTCCAGCAGGTCATCAGCTCAACAAAGCAAGACTTTTGCAGCTGCTTCTTTATTTTACCTTTCTCTGGGTCAGCTCATTGCTCATCTCACCCAATTGGGTTATTCTGTTCTTTGTTACCAGACTTCAGATATTACTCATCACAAAGAAAGGAGAAAAGCAAGGGGAAAAGAGAAAAATACCTTTTTCCGATCAACCTGAAGTAAGATCAGGTTTGATTCCTTCCAGGCTTCAACCCAAAACATCTATAGCAAATCTCCCTTCTTAGGCCATTTCTGCCTGGAAAAGCACCCTTTAATAGTTACTCTCCCCAAAGTCTTTTTTATAACTCTAGTCCACACGTACACTCCTTCCAAGTTACTATCTATAGTTCATTAATCTGTATCAAATAAACCTAATTATACTTTTTTGGAAAAAAAAAAAATCCCTTTACCCCAATCTCTGCTTCTGCCTCTTCCTACATTACCCCAGTAATGTAGTAATTACCAGTTCACAGAATTGTGGTATCACAAAGTCAATCAATAATTAAAATATTTATTTTTGCCTCTGGGAAAAAAAGAGGGAATTCAATACACAATACTGGGTAGAAAAGAAGTTTTCTTCACAATTTACATATTCTCCAAACATCTTGCTTTTGGCTAACTTATTCAACACCTGTGATGCATACTACTTCAAAAATCTAATAATATGATTTCTTTACAACACCATACACTTTAAATGACAATTCTAAAAGCATCTCTCATATCAAACATGTAATTATCTTTTTAGTACAGTGATATTTCTTAGACTCGATAGTATTTCATTAGCTCTTCTATTCTAAAGGAGATGGTAAATTCCAGGCTTAAAGCCTTAAGGCTGGTTGGATCTGATGGACTGAGGAAAAGCAATGAATCTAAATTTAAAGGATTCACCTCAAATCCATTGCTCTGGTCTTAATTATTTTGGCTTTCTCATGGGGATTTTTCACCCTTAATTTTAACTACAACGTAACACCTTATCTCACAAAAATACAGAAAGAATAACCAAACTTATCAAACATCAACAAATATAATGCAATACAGAATTATATGTGATTTGGTAAACTGGTAAAGTTTAAGAGTGATGGGTAACCCTCCATGAGTTACCCTCTATAAAATTTGATAGTGATTAGTCACAGAATACTTAAAACTTATTCCCTTCCCAAAACATGACTACTATGAATTTCAAGACCAAGTATCTTTAAAAAATCAACTAATCAAGCTGACATAATATACTGAGATTAAATTAAAATTGTTTTTCATCATCTCAAATAAACATGATATATATTAATAAAGAAAACAATAGAATGTCATTGTACAGACTCTTAAGATACCTGATTATAATGCAAACTTATATGAAGGTACACCTCTCCAAGATACAAACTTGAAAATAATTTCCCCTTTACACATTAGTCATGCTAAACAATTGAGGATTTTTTCCTGCACTTAACTGTAAATCCACAAAAAGTTTCAAAGAAAAACAAGTTCATTCATTACTCATAAACAAGTTCGATGAAGATTATTTTTAATATGCCTCTTAATTTTCTTAGGACTTTATTTTATATAAATGTAAACTGGTTACCATTTTTTTGAAATCTCCCTTTAAAATGGGATCAAAAGAGACTTAGATTCAATTGGTCTAAAAAGAGCTAAAACAGAATGTTAATTCAGTCTGAACAAGGAGAAATTGGATCTGTAAAACGAATAATTATCTCACAAGAAGCTGTTAATATTCATCATTCATTCATTCATCCATTCATTATTTCCACATTTATTCACAAGTTATATCCCAAACACATTTTTTAACATACTTTCCTTTCGATTTTATCCATTTTCATGATTTAGCTACCACTTTAATGATAATTCATTGATGATTTTAATGATAATAATCTGTGATTCCAGCTCTAAGTTTTATGATACCCACTTATTGGATAAATCTAATTGGATGTCCTGGAGAGGTCACTGTACAGAAGGACCATCTGCTACAGTCTGTGTTCTACTGAAGTGGGGAAACCTCTTGCAAATTGTTATAGTATTCCTTGATATGGGGAGAGAGGTAGGTCTAGCTGCTATGTAGTATTGTTCAAGTTTCCTATATCCTTACTGCTCTTCTGTCTAGTTGTTCTATCCACCATTGAAAATGGGATCTTGTTGTGGGATACTGCAAAAGCAGTATTAAGGGGAAATTTATTGCATTAAATGCTTACCTCAGAAAAATGGAAAGATGGCAAGTGAACAACCTAACACTGCATCTTAAAGAACTAGAAAAACAAGAACAATCCAAACCTAAAGTTAGCAGAAGGAAAGAAATCATCAAGATCAGAGCAAAACTTAACGAAATTGAAACCCAAAAAACAATACAAAAGATCAACAAATCAAAAAGTTGGTTTTTTGAAAAGATAAATAAAATCGACAAACCACTAGCATGGCTAACAAAAAAAAGAAGAGAGAAGATTCAAATAACAAAAATTAGAAATGAAAAAGGTGATATTACAACCGACCCAAATGAAATACAAGAAATCATCCGAGACTACTATAAACAGCTATACGCCAACAAGTTCGAAAACCTGGAGGAAATGGATAAATTCCTGGACTCACACAAGCTTCCAAAATTAAACCAAGAAGATATAGAAAACTTGAATAGGCCAATAACAATAAAGGAGATTGAAGATGTTATCAAAAAGCTCCCAAAAAAGAAAAGCCCAGGACCAGACGGATTCACAGCAGAATTTTACCAAACATTCAAAGAAGAAATGACACCGATTCTATACAAACTATTCCAAAAGATTGAAACAGAAGCAAAGCTTCCAAACACATTCTACGAAGCAAACATCATCCTGATACCAAAACCAGATAAAGATATAACCAAGAAAGAAAACTACAAAGCCATTTTCTTTGAGTTATAGGGAGATCTGACATGCCGGGCAGAACATTCCTGAAAAACAGTGTGTTACCAACCCCTCACCATTAGGCTGTTATAGTAGGTCTATGAAGTGCATGTCATATTATTTAAATTATTAAAAAGTATTAGAAATTATTTCAGATATGCAAAAAAATAACCATGCTGTTTTGGTTATTATAGCTTTGTAGTATAGTTTAAAGTCAGGTAGAGTAATACCTCCAGCTTTATTTTTTTTGCTCAGCATTGCTTTGGCTATTCGTGGTCTTTTGTTATTCCAGATAAATGACTGAATAGTTCTTTCCATGTCAGAGAAAAATGTCATAGGAATTTTAACGGGGATTGCATTAAATTTGTAGATAACTTTGGGTAGTATAGTCATTTTCACTATATTCATTCTTCCAATCCAGGAGCATGGGATGTCTTTCCATCTTCTTGTATCCTCTCTAATTTCTCTCAGGAGTGGTTTATAGTTCTCGTTATAGAGATTTTTCACATCCTTAGTTAGTTCAATTCCTAAGTATTTTATTTTTTTGGCGGCTATTGTGAATGGGCAGGCTTTCTTGATTTCTCTTTCTGCTTGTTCACTATTGGTGAAAAGAAATGCTACTGATTTTTGTGTGTTGATTTTATATCCTGCTACTGTGCTGAACTCTTTTATCACCTCTAAGAATTTTTTAATAGATGATTTGGGCTGTTCAATATACAGGATCATGTCATCTGCAAACAGGGACAGTTTGACTTCATCCATTCCAATCTGGATGCCCTTTATTTCCTTCTCAATTCTGATTGCTCTGGCTAATACTTCCAAAACTATGTTGAATAGGAGTGGTGAGAGTGGGCATCCTTGTCTGGTTCCTGTTCTTAAAGGAAAAGCTTTCAGTTTTTCCCCATTCAGGATGATATTGGCAGTGGGTTTATTATATATGGCTTTGATTATGTTGAGATACTTTCCATCTATACCTAATTTATAAAGGGTCTTTATCATGAATGAGTGTTTTTTTGAAGTTGTTACAACAAGCAAACGGAAAGGACATTCTTGGGGGGGAGGGGAGAGAGGGAGGAGGGAGGGAGGTGTCGTCGGAGAAGGGCCATAATAATCATATACATTGTATATTGACAAAATAAAAGTTTAACAAAAATAAATAAATAAATAAAATGGGATCTTGAAGTCCCCAATTATTATTGTTAAATAGTCTATTATTCTCTTTAATTCTGTCAGGCTTTACTTCAGGTATTTGGGGGCTATGTTAGATACAATATGATTATAATTGTTACATCCTGATGGATTGAGCCTCATATGTCTCCTTTGTCTTTAGTAATAATTTTTGTCTTGAAGTTTATTTTTGCAGTCACTCCAGCTGTCCTTTGGTTACTGTTTGCATAGAATATCTTCTTTCATCCCTTTACTTTCAACCTGCATATGTCTTTAAATCTAAAATGTCTTTTATAGAAGGCATGTAGTTGTATCATTTTTTGTCCATTCTGCTAAATGATAAATTGGACTTAATCAAAATTGAAAACTTTTGTGCTTCAAAGGACACCATCAAGAAAATGAAAACACAACCCACAGAATGAGAAAAAATATTTGCAGGGCCGGCCTGTGGCTCACTCGGGAGAGTGCGGTGCTGATAACACCAAGGCCCCGGGTTCGGATCCCACATAGGGATGGCCGGTTCGCTCACTGGCTGAGCGTGGTGCTGACAACACCAAGTCAAGGGTTAAGATCCCCTTACCGGTCATCTTTAAAAAAAAAAAAGAAGAAATATTTGCAAATCATATATCTCATAAGGGTCTAGTACCCCAAATGTATAAAGAACTACTATGACTCAACAATTAAAAAACAACCCACTTTTTTAAACGGGCAAAAGGAAATGGATATTTCTCCAAAAAAGATATACAAATAGCCTATAAGCACAGGTAAAGATGCTCAAAATTACGAGTCATTAGGAAAATGCAAATGAAAACCACAATAAGGTACCACTGGACACTCACTAGGGCGGCTAATTTTAAAAATTGAGAAAATATATATCACAAGTGTTGGAGAGGATATGGAAAACTGGAATCATCATAAACTGCTGATGGGGATATAAAATGGTGCAGCCTCTACAGAAAACAATTTGGCAATTTCTTAAAAAGTTAAACATGTGGTGAATACGAATCAACAATTCTACTCCTGAGTATATACTCAAAAGAACTGAAAACATATATTCATATAAAAACTTGTACACATAGTAGCATTATTCATAATAGCCAAAAAGGTATTAACAACCCCAATGTCTATAAACCATAACATAAATATGGTATATCCACACAACAGAATATTTTTCAGCCATAAAAAGGAATGGCACACTATTACATGCTACAACATGGCTGAACATTGAACACGCTAAGCGAAAGAAGGAATACACAAAAGGCCACATATTGCATGACTCTATTTATATGAAATGTCCAGAACAGACATTTTCATAGAGACAGAAATTAGATTATGGTTGTAAAGGGATTAGGTGGAAGGGAGAATTGGGACTGCTAATAGGTATAGGGTTTCTTTTTGGGGGTGATGAAAATGTTCTGGAACTGTGGTGATACTTGCACAACAGTGAATATACGAAAAACCACTGAATTGAACACTATAAAAGGGCGGGCGAACTTTATGTGAATATATCTCAATTTAAAAATCAATTAAATAATTTTTAAAGCTAAAAAAATAAATAAAAACCAGAGCAATCTTGTGTCATCCTAGCCCCCAGGCCAGTGTGGTAAGGATGGTGGCATTTAAGAAGAAAAAAAAAAAATCCAGGTAAAGATGTTGTTCACCGTACTAGGGAAAATTGTGGCAAAATCTGGCTGCCCCTCTCCATGTATCTCTCCATTGACTGTCCCATAAAAACTAAGTTTTCACTATTTTTGCTTTTAGTGAAGAAAGGGAAATACATGCAACTAAAATTATGTCTCACCCCATGTTTCTCGTCTTATATACCCTAAGTGAATAGTTACGTAGCCATAGCCAGAAACCTGGGAGTCATTCTAAATTCCTTCTCTCTCACCCTTCGTATCCAATCAGTAATATATCATACCCATTGTAGCTTTCAGCTCCTAAACATTTCCCCATTCAGTACCTCTTCTCTATCCTTACTACTCTGCCATCTCTCCCTTAAGCCCTGTTTCGTTTTGTTTCCTTGACATCTAACCTACATGCTACTAATCAAGAAGATCTACCTAAACCAAAAATCTAACAGCCCAAAAGCCTTCAACAGCTGTTCTGCACCTACAGCCTTTGGAATTTACTTATGTCTCCAGCAAGCATCATTGCATATCACCTCCTGAGCCCACTTTATACTCTAAGTAATACAGCTTCTACTTCCCAACACACACCATGCTGTTTCATGCCTCCTCTGCTTAAACTATTTGCTGAGCATGGAAAGATGTTCCTAACCAAGAAAATGTAACCTCTCCTACCCATCAATTTCCCTAGCATTCTGTGTGTATGTTTCAGTCAGCACTTCAGTTTCTACTTTTTTTGTCTTCTCTCCTTTTACAGACAGCATAATGCTAGTTGCCAAAACTGTCTTAAGTTCATTTAGAATTTCTACAGAGCTATCCTTTACACACACACACACACAGTGTATACATATATACACTATGGTTGAAAAAAATGAATGAAAAGCAAGGCAACAGTACTTTTTAATTCACACAGCAAGAAAACATAACCATAACTGCCTCAGTATTTAGATGGTCTTTTTAAAACGTTAATACCGTTTTTAAAAAAACAGCGACATAAACGCCCCTAAACATGTCAACAGAGACAGCTATAAACGCTGAAGGAGAAAAATCTCTGCAACCTGATTATAAACTGGACCTGAAAAAATTTTTGAACAGTGAGAGTTTTCTATCTCTAGACTTTACATTAACACGACCTCCTACATTAACAAGACACAGATGGAAGCGAAGAACAATCTCACTTACTATAAAGCATCTCAAAAGGACATTCTTTATGGAAAGAAAATGCAGAATTAGAATCCCACCTCCCCGCTCAAGCTTGGGTGTCCTTTCAAGAAAACAAGAAGTTTCATCACTAAACGGAACTCATTTCCGAGGATCAGTACTCAAGTTTCTCACAGTTGGAAGAACCATGTGTCAATGACTCCTGCTCAAAATAAATAACATAACGGGAAGGCTAATTCGTTTTAGGAATCGGGAAACATTTACCATATGTTTGCAAAGTCCAGCTTAAGCAAATGCCTTCTTCACCTTCCTGATCTCCAGCTCCCTTTCCACCACACGAAAAACCACCCAAGCACCCTACGAACCTGGTCACTGCCTCGGACACAGGCCGGAGCCCGGTGGCAGGTGAGGACTGGCTGGCTTCGGAATCTCCGACCACTGCAGCTCAGACCCCAAAGCCAAAGTCTGCTGCTTCCTATCCCCGGCGGCCCCCAGGGCCACGTAACCCTGATCGCGCCCTGACTCACCCTGTGTAGCTTTTCTAGGACCAGCCCCAAGTACGGCTGAGGGGCAGCCCTGAGCACCTCCATGGCGCCAAGGCTGCTTTGGCTGTGGCTGCGGCAGCCACGGCTTGGCCAGGCCACAACCAGCAGCTGAGAAAGCACTGCGTTCTGTCGGGAACGCGAACCAGCCCCGGCGACAGCAGCAGACCACTGCGCAGCCGGCTGTGCGGGGAGCCGGGCAGCACTGGCGCCAACAGGCCTCAGGCGCCGCGATGCAGACCCTGGTAACCTAGGCCCCTTTGTTACGTTTTGCTTACGTAACACAGGTCTGAGCCCGCCCCGCACGAGCCTGTGACGCACCCTTTCCTCGCCACCCCTCCCCTCGGCTTGGTACCGGCCGGGCGGCCGTGGAGAGGCGGGGAGGCGCGAGCCGCGGTGAACTTCCCCTCCTCCTCCGCTGGAGCTTCGTAGACGTGTCCTAGTTGTTCGTTCTTAAAGGGGCCGACGCACTACCTGGCGAACCACCCACCCCTCCAAGTCGAGGGGCTCGGGGCTGGTGAATGGGATTCGACCTCAGGCTCTGCGAGATGGTGTGGGCTGCAGGGCTCAAAGACCAGGACTTTGGCCCAGGACCCCTCGCCTCGGATGGCCACAGGTGGAAGCTTCTCCCGGGGGCCCCACGGCGCGCCCCCTTCGGCCTAGGGGCCAGCACCAGTCACGTCCCCAACCACCAGAGCTTTCCACTCTCAGCCCCTCTAGAGCTTGCTATCTGCGCCTGATGGAAGCCCTGACGGCGTCGTACCCCGAGGGACCCTGCTGGCCCGGAGAAGCCGTCTGCCGCCTTCATTCCAGTCTGAAAATGGCCTACGGGGCACGCGCCGGTGGGCCCTGCCAACCGTGTCCGGACTTTGGATTTTGGACAGGAAGGCAGCCATAGTCTGGTCAAAGTTTAACCTCTCCCAAAGAATATCGATCTGGTATCCTCTGCCGAGTGGAGGGCTCCGGGGGTCTACTCACTTACCTGAGTGACCTGGGCACTCACTAGGCAGAACTATCCTAAACTCCTTGAGCTCCTAGTTACCCAAATGCTAAATCAAACCCGGGTGAACCTGGGGCCAGCGCGTGCTGTTTTCCTCTGAGAAGAGGAGCTAAAAGTAGCAACTTGTTCTCTAAATTTAGGGCTGGATTTGTTTGTGGGAGACGGTTTTAGCTGACATAAGGGTAAGGGGTAACCCATCACTTACATACAGGTATATGTCTTTCTTCCCATCATAATCATTCTCATCAAATTCTGCCTTCTAATTCAAGTCTTCAGTGAAGCAACTCAAAAAGGTGTGGATACCTCTTCCTAAACAAATCCCCCAAGAAAACTCAATAATGAACAAAATCTTAAATAGTTAAGAATTTTCCCAAATGAAAGCTTTTGCAGCAACAAAACCGTTATATCATTATAAATAAAAAACAGGCCCAAGTTTACAGCAAGCGATTTTTCGTGACAAAAATGCGGCCTAGTGTTTCCAAACTCAAATTGCTATCTCTCCTTGCCACATCAGCCTGAGGAGTTTCAGGAACTGCCAGTATCAGAGAGTAGCAGAAATTGCTTAATAATTCTCCATCTTTAAGGTATTACACAACCTTCATATACATATTGGACAGTGTAAACTTAAATTACATTATGCGAATAATTATTAAAATCAAAACAGAAGCATAATCAAAATTTTACATTTAGAATTTCAAAGACTCTTAAAACAACAAATGTCTTGATTAGATCATTGTATTACTCAATAAAATTCTAACATGAGTCTGAACATTTTCAGGGGATTTCAGAATCATTTGCAGCTGTTAGGACTTGTGAGAAAAAAAAAAATCCCTTTGCCTTCCCTAAGTCAGCCTTTGCCCTTTTCCAATTTTCAATAATTACCATTCCAAATATTAGAAACATAGGTTAGGGACAAAATAATGAATGAAGTGTAAAATGAAAAATCCAAGTTTCCCCCATAACAAAAACACAGTAAAGCTCAACAAATTTGAAGTGCGAAATTCCAAACCTGATTTCTTTTCTATACACTTAATAGTCATATAGAAACTTACCTCTTCCTCCAAATCTTTCAGTTCCATTTCTTAAAAAGCTCATGTTAAAATATCATAACATGTAAATAAAGTTCTGCTAAGCACCTCATATCCTTGAGAAAGATTTCAGGTTCTAATATATCCTGCACTATTCTGTTTCCACGTTGTGATCCTGTTTTGACACTTGTGTGGTAAAGGGGTGCTACAGGTGGAGTTGTGACTACCAACCCATAATCTAATTTCATGGACCTCACTCTTTACTAAATATATATATATACACACATATATATGGATGTATATATTTTAATATATGTATCACTACCCTCTTAAAGTCAACAATTGGAAAGAAAAATCCTGAATTTGTAACTGATAAAAACTAAATTGAATGCTTTACTCTATAGTCTATTCATATAGAGTACCTGATTTCAGCCACATGAAAGATGTTCAAAGATTATAGACTTGAAATTTTACTGTCTTAAATAGGACCTGCTTTGAAGGAGATGGAGAACAAATGCTGTTAGTGTTTGTGACAGCTACTAGAAAACATCCAAGAACACTGGAAACATGCTAACCTGTAAACTTTATCCACAGCCTAGGCACTGATTTCCCTTATGAAGGGCCCTGTTGCAAAACTGTAAGTACTGGTTACTCCCATTTAATTAAACAGGCAGTGTCACAGGCTATAAGATCTAGTCCTTTGGATGAAAATCAAACAAAATAGTTGAGACTCTTCATTCTCCATACTCGTGATATAAGAATTGTTCTCAACATATTGAACAAGAGCTGGGCAATTTCCATTGTTTATTCCACGTATAAATTAAGCATTTTAGTTAAAAATATATGAATGTTAGAACTCAAAGAGGCTCCTCAGTTGTGAAATAAAGTAGATAAAAAAGTGGCATTCATGCCTATTACTTGAATAATACAAAGAAAGTATATTCTGTACAAAATCTACTTGAAATTAACAGTGAATTGAAATAATTACCTGAACATTTAAGCAAGAAGAAAAGGAAACCCTTTCACCTAAATTTAACTGGAAAATTGCTCAAATTTTCCATTTACTGCAGTTATTCAAATCTATATTATGGGTCCTTAATAGATTCATTCAGATTGTTAGAATTCTAGATCTGGCAGGTACTCTTCAGAACATTTAGTCCAAGGATTATGAATTTAAAGCCGTATAGAGGCCAAGAAGTTGAAATAAATGTAGAGAATTGAAGAGTGCATATCTATGTAAGTAAGTACTTATTCAGCATGAGCTTCTTGTTGCCATATAAGAATGGGAGATTATATAATATAGTCTTCAGCTTTTTCAAGAGAACCCAGGAATTCAGAATTTTATATGAACTCACCTTATAAATGTTGAAAACTGATTCATAATTTTCTTAAACAATGCATAAGCCAGTTTTGACCAGCAGCCTATAATCTAGTCTCCGCTTCTGATATTAGAGTTTTAAAACTGAGACTCCTTCCCCAAAGAATAAGTGACTTTCCAAGATCGCAAGATAATTAACATAAATTTTAATTCAATATTTTCATGTCTGAAAAATTTCAACCAAAATGGTTCAAGTAAAATGTATTGACTATGTTTACTGAGTCCACAAAAACAGCATACTTAGTATAGACTATTAAATAAACACTTTAGGTAGAGGCAGATATGTACTGATTAGTAAATTACATTTTCAATTCTGTAACTTCACTAGTATAATTTGCAGGAGAGGGGATTAAGAGGTGGGGGTATGTCAGCAGGACATACCAATAAGTAGAATTAATTCCATAGGGAGTTAAAAGTTTTATTATGACTATTTTTACAAATATCATTAAATTAGTTTTTCTTTTCTCCTAACCTGGAGCAGACTTTTGACTAACATTTTAATCAACATCTTCAAGACCAAATCATAGAGAGAATATTAATGACTTCTCTAGGCTTATTTATCATGTAACGTCAACTCTCTGAAATCCTGGCAAAAGAATAAAGTGAAAAAGAGGCCTCTGGAAGCAAAACAATGTATGTTATTTATTAAGCCCAGTTTTCAGAAAGACTCATCACAGTCAGTGGCACCACCATCTTTTGGTCACCCTAGCTAAAAACCTTACAACAGTTATCCTCACTTTTCCCTTTGATTCTCCTTGCTACTTTCAACCAATCATTAAATCCAATGGTTTCTATCTACAAAAGATCGATCCAATTTGTCCTTCCAATCATTTCAACAACCACCATCAGATGTTAGGCCAGAGGTTTAAAAATGTGGCTAGGACTGGCTGAGTGGCTCACTCAGGAAAGTGTGATGCTGATAAAACCAAGGTCAAGGGTTCGGATCCCCGTGCTGGTTAGCCGCCAAAAATTTTTTTGAAATTAAAATGTGGTTAGTGGGCCAAATCCAACTCAGCTTTCACACAAAAAATCCAGATTTCTAGCTTTTTTTGGAAATGAGAATATCTGGGGGGAAAAGGCTGAAGGTAAGTAGTTATATCCTTTAGACAAGTATATATCCAAGTTATGTCCTTTAGAAAATCCCAAGATTTAGACTCTCACCATTTATTTACCATACTAATGCAATAGCTTCTTGACTGGGCTTCCTGCCTCTGGTCTTTATCCCTTCAATCATAATTTGATGATGTTCACAGAGAAACTTTATAAGTGAAACTTTTTTATTTACTGCTTAAATTCTTCAATAGTGACCCCATCGTTTACAAGATAGAGTTGACCTCCCTGTTATAACATGCAAAGCTATTCTTGATTTGATCCCTGTATACATCTTCAGCCTCACTCTATGTTCAATCAGACTGAATTGGTTATAATTCTCTGAAAAGGCCATGTTCTCTCCCACTTCTGTACTTTTAAAAATGCTCTCGCCTCAACCTAGAATGCCTGTCCCTTCTTTGTCTGGCTAACTCCTACCTTTCCTTCAAGACCAGCTCAGGCATGATCTCTGAGACACTTTCCCAGGTTTTTCCTTCCCACTCTCTCTACCTACCACTTCCAATCAATCTGTAAGGCAGCTCCTCCTGTATATCAATAGCACCCTGTGGCTATTATGGTACTGTGTTATAATTACTGCTTTTATCTGTTTCTTCCAACTAAAGTGAGCTCCTTGAGGGCCACCACTGTTAAATTTCATCTTATAAATGAGAAAAGTGCTTCCTCAATTACTTCTATGGTAGCAGTAGATGAGAAAAGGAACTAATATTTGTAAAAGGACTCCAATGTTCCAAGTACTACAGTTGGATCCTTTTGCAATATTTCATTTAATAATAAGATTTATAATAAATGGAAAAATGGAAAAAATGTGGAAATTTAATTGCAGCTTGGTTATTTCAGATATTAGTTGCTTTTGTGTACTGACATTACACCATTTTGAGGTCACAGCTGTCGTTCTGATACTAACATTTTGCTTAAGACTCATTTTCATATTATTTCTGAGTTAACTCATTTAGTATAATTTTCCTTCATTTGAAAAAACAGGGAGGGCGGGGAACATTGCTCCAAATCAACAAAGCTTAAGGAAAGATTTTTAACAATATCCATGCAACAAAGCATTCGTGTAAAGAGAGATTTACATGTAAGATTTCATGGAAAGAGAAACATTATATAAGGTTTTTATAAGGAAGGTTCACTCAAACAAATTTTGCAGCCACTCCTGTATTTAGTAAAATAGGTAAAATTATTGTAAAAGATTTAAAAGGCCAACTTACCCTTCCCGTAAGAATTACAATTGGCGAAAAAACAGAATTCATGAAATCATAAACATCAATTTGAAATAAATATTTCAGAATCTGAAACTCGGAAGCAGCTTCTGTTGATTTATAAATAAAAATATGTTACCACTTGATATTATGTAACTTCTGAATCTACTTTCTTCTTAAATTTATGCATTAGAGAAAAAAATACCTGCTTCTTACCTTTTTGAGGAATGGTTAGCAGGGTATTTTCCGTAGATCTGTCTGTTTTCATCTGAGGAGGCCCTTCTGTGTCTACTGATGAATTTGATTTTTCATCATTGCTTTCAGAAGATAGTGTTTTGAAATGTACTTCTCCATGAATTTTCATAGGTAACTCTATTTTAGAGACCATACCTGCAAATAAATAAAGAGAAATGTATTTTTTTTAATACTTGCTTTGTTGTGGGCTTCTCTTCTGTTTTCTAGGCAAGTCATTTTTTGAACCTTTCTGGTCATTGTAACATTTCGTAGAGAAAGAATGCACTAAAACATAAATTGCAGCCTGAATTAGTTCCTATTTCTGGTATAATAAATAACTGCAAACTTAGTGGCTTTAACAATACCAATTTATTCTCTTATGGTTCTGGAGGTCAGAAGTCCTAAAACCAAGGTGATGGAAGGACTGCATTCCTTCTAGAGCATCTAAGGGAGAATTTGTTTCCTTGGTTTTTCTACCTTCTAGAGGCCTACTGCACTCCTTGGTTCATGGCCCCATCCTCCATTTTCAAAGCCAGCAGTGTAGCATCTTCTAATCTGTCTCTCTCTTACTCTGACCCTCCTATTGTACTCTTATGAAGAACTTTGTGATATTAGGCCCATGAGGATAATCTCTACATCTTAGTATCCTTCACTTAATCACATCTGCAAGGTCCTATTTACCATGTAAAGTAACATATTCACAGGATCTGGGAGTTAAGACATATACATCTTTGAGGGGCCTTTACTCAGCCTATCACATAACCCTTTCCTTTATTCCTTGGCCAAGGAAGAATTATAAAAACTATATATGATTCTATTCTCCACATTGCCTTTTTGTCTTAAAAACAAAATTAACATAACTGTCAACAACTCTCAGAAGCGTATGACTAAAAATGGAACAATAAATAGATCCCCTTAAGATTTCATTCCTGTTAGATACATTAATTGTCCAAGAAGGTATTATATCTAAATGACATTGCAAAAATACGTATCGCTACCTTTCAAGAAAATCAGTAAGATAGATTTTTTTTACTTTAACTGTTAGAGAACCAGAGAGTCAAAATGACCAATATTATTTATGGTATCTATAGGCTACTTGATATTGGTGGTTAATTGTATTTAATAAACAGAACTAACAGGTAGTTGCACAAAGAAAGGCAGAGTTAGAACTTATAGAAATTAATTTCCAAGTTCAAAAATCTAATCCACTGGATCATGCATATCTACAATACATATTTGCTAATATGCATTATTAAATATAAAAACCATATCACTCAAACTTTCAATGGGGTTACTCCAAAGGTAGAAGAACCACCCCACTACTAAAGAAACCATATTATCCATTTGCACAGGAAGATGCCAATATTTTTAGGATATTAGAAACAACTTTAAAAATGATAAGGTGTTAATGAAATGTCATGCATTATTATAATTTTTCTTTTCTCTTGTAGCTTTACTAATTTCAAGTTCCTTTGTTTCCCCCTATATCCTATATCTAGTATATTACACTATTATATGTCACATCAAATCATATCATATATCATATCAAATCATATCACATCACACCATTCAAGGAAAGTATTAAAGAAACAATGAATAAAGCTTTTTAAACTCCACAATCAAATAAATACTGTATATTAAGAGAAAATTTGAAGGAAAATATCATTTAGAGTAATTCTTATTAGCATTTACAGTATGTTTTATATTTTAGAGTACACTATGTTATTTGCTAATTTACTAGAGTGTGTTGTATAAAACAAATATAGAAATGTGAGTCCAAGATATATTTTTGACACCATTATTTAAGATATTTTAGTAATTATTAATTTATTTTAGAAATTATCAATAAAATGTTCATGGGATTAAAATAATGCTATTTTGTATGTTTGCATTGGCATAGTAGAGGAGAAATACTGATACTATAAATAGAATATAAAAATAACAACTATAAGGTATTCTCATTCAACTGCTAAAATACATGCTTCTGTGACTACATAAAGGTATATGCTTATTTTCTCTTTATCAGACCCAATACAGCAGAAGGCAATGCTGAGAAATCAAGTTGAAATCAATACTAAATTGTGTTTTGAATCATCTCTATGCCATGAGTGTGTCTGGCAAAGATAATATTGCACGTAAGATTGATATCTCTTTAGTTTGGTGATCTCATGAAGTTCACATATTGCGTCAGTAAGATAAACATATCATGGGCCAGCCTGTGGCTCACTCGGGAGAGTGTGGTGCTGATAACACCAAGGCCACGGGTTCGGATCCTATATAGGGATGGCCGGTTTGCTCACTGGCTGAGTGTGGTGCTGACAACACCAAGACAAGGGTTAAGATCCCCTTACTGATCATCTTTTTAAAAAAAAAAAAGATAAACATATCATGGGCCAGCCTGTGGCTCACTCGGGAGAGTGTGGTGCTGATAACACCAAGGCCACGGGTTCGGATCCTATATAGGGATGGCCGGTTTGCTCACTGGCTGAGTGTGGTGCTGACAACACCAAGACAAGGGTTAAGATCCCCTTACTGATCATCTTTTTAAAAAAAAAAAAGATAAACATATCATAAATTACTAAAAAGGAAACTCAAGAAAGAAATTATGTATCTTACCACTCTGCTTTTTTTACAGAAATCAGGTAAATCTCTTCTATTAGATAAAAATTCATATTATCCAACTGATAAAATGATCTTTACTTTAAGGAAAAATGTAAGTTTTATTTTGCATTTCAATGAAACAATGCTGATAAGAGGTTTAAATAAAATGTTCCTGATCTTTCTGCTTTTATGCTACATATTAAATCTCTAAATGAACTATAACATACCTGAAATCAAATTTAGAATGAAAATATGTATGCATATCTGTTGAGAATTTTCATCTAAAAATGATTACCCTTCCCCAAGGTTAATAAAAAGCTTCCAATTTGAAACATATATAGGTCAAAATTTGCCATGTTTGTAACATTGCATCATATACTTATATCCATGCCATGTCAAAATAGCCATCAATTTATTTTAAGGAAATTAATTTAATTTTTCAAACAGTTTAAACTGATCACTTGATTGAACTGACTAATCAAACAAGGTTTTAAAAAGTTTTAACTAGTCCTATCCTGAAGTACAGTATTAAAGTAAACTGTGGAATCTATTTCTCAATTATTTTTTAAGACAAGGATAAAAAAAGTGTCAGTGTAGTCCTGAAAAGCAATAGTAAAGAGTGGTAAGTGAATTATGCAATGCCTAACTTTGCTCTTTGAGTTTATGATTCTTAACATGGCATTTTGGTGCTGCATTTAAAATAAATATATTTTAAGAAAATGAATATTCCCTATTGTATTTTAATATTTAGTTACAGTTTTGAAGTATTATTTTCACATGAATTGAACCTAAGCTTTAAGAATTACATTATGGCTAGCCAGATAGCTCAGTTGTTTAGAGTACAGAGCTGGGAATACCAAGGTCCAGGGTTTGATCCCTGTACTGGCCAGCCACCAAAACAAACAAAAAATTTATGTTACATACAGATATGCTTTTTTTTTACAATAGTTTATTAACAGAATTTTAAGTCAAACAAAATAATTTTTTTTAGTATTTAACTGTACTTTGGAAACTTATTATTTAAATAGGCTCAATTGGAGTCTTTTTGTAAAATAGTTACTAATAATATAAATAACTGTTTCCTAATTTATGTTTTATAAATTCTTATATCAGCATATTAGTTTCTTTGTAAATGCAGTTATCTCAAGTCTCAGCCTTTCACAAATATTGATTCATAATCAGTGATTCATTTATCTTATGCACTGTTTCTAATTAAGGCAAGTTTTCATTTGTTATTCCCTGAAAGAGTTGCTGAAATTATTGGAGAAGATTGGCTGTTTAAGCTATTTCTCCAATATCCAGAAAATATGACTTGTGGCTTTATTTAAATCCTCTTGTAGAATTTTTTTAAACAAATTTTTGTATGATTAAATTTTATTGTAAATATTGGTAAAGGGCCACAAAAAATGTTTACATTGTACAATGACTAAATAAATAAATAAAATTTTATTGTAAAATACCTTAAGATCTTCTTGGAACACCAGTACATCTCCAATCATTCTGTTTCCCTTGAGATTTTATTTTGTAATATGAAGATTTAAGTCCCAGAGTAAACCAGAAATTGATAAAAGGGTGGTGGTTGTTGATTATTGAGTATTTTGAAAAACTGGATTTCTGGACTTTTTCATCTGATTTGTACTTAAAAAATAAATTATGTTAAAAAATAAAATACAGTGAATTATATTATAGATATTTTTATACCTACCCGACTGACTATGTCTGCTTTTCAAACTCATAACTTTCATATTATCTGTGGGATAATTTTCAACTGAAAATTCTTCTGTTTCGTCATTTTCAACTACATTATTTTGATCCAATATCTGTTTGGGAAATGGCAATTCTGCTTCCTTTGGAATGTTCTGGAAGCTCCAAGGGTTGTCAAATTTATGCAAGAACTTTTTGAAATATGCTAAAGTCTCAGAATAATGTGTTTTCTTTAAGACTCTTTTCTTATCTATTTGATGTTCTGTTTCTGTAATTTTCATCATTTTTATTTCTTGTTTCTTATCAGGGTCAAATGCACCCACTGAAGGATGTTTATGTTTATCTCCCCCACCATCTTCAGTTTTTCCATCATCTGATATAATTTTATCTTCATTGACATATGCAAAGCCTAACATACCAAAACCAAAATCAAACCAACTCAGCTTGAGAACTGAGCTATCATTAGTGATTATATCTTCTTTTTCTGTTAATATTTCTGTGGCTTCTTCATCAGGTGATACGGAATTGGGAACATCTTGTAGGGGTGTATCATTTTCTTTGAACAATAATTCATGCCCTGTATCCTTATCTCCAAAACCTAAATAACTTGTAAATCCACCACCAAACCAACCACTGGCTTGAGGTTGGAGAAGATGCTCTGACTTAGATGCTTCAGACTGTTTCTCTGGTACTAAATCAAATTGTGATTCAGGTTCTTGCTTATGTTCTGTTTGGGGCTCACCATTATTTAATTCCTTTAGGTCATTCTCATCTTCCACTGCTATTTTTCTACTTTGCAATGAGCTTTCTTGTACAGGTTCTATAACTAATTCAAAAGCCCTCGCTTCAACTTGTTCTCCTCCCAATCCAAACCATCCTCTTACTTCAGGCACAGCTGAGGATGGTGAGACATGATCCACTTCTGGAATATGATCCTGTTCCACACCTCCAGCTTCTATTTCTTCCCAGTCCTTTGATTCACTAGTAATTCTGACATCTTTGAAAACCTCTGATGATGGAAATTGGTCTTCAAACAAGGTGCTTTCAGAAGTTGCATAAAGTCCATGTTCTATTTGAAAATCATTTTCATATATACTAGATTTTTGGTCTTTATCTTCTTCATATGAATATATATGTTCACCATTATTACTGTTTAACTCACTATCTTCATTTTCAAATGTGTAGCTTACTCCAAGACAAAGAAAGTCAGATTCCTAAAAGAAAAAAAAATTATCATAGACATATATGACCTAAAGCTCCTTGTTTCTCCCTGAATTACTTAAAATAGACGACTGTGATTTTCCCAAGACCACACAACTAGCTCAACAGCAGAACAAAAACTAAAATCAGATCTCCTAATCTCAAATACTTTTATCACAACCAACTTTTGGGGATTAATGATATAAACCTAAATGAAAATCCTTTTACATTATGATTTATTTGTATTAACTAGTTGAAAAATTTGAGAAGCAGAGACAATCCATCCTTTGAGTATATTCTGTGAATAAACTCAGATGAAAAGACATGCATGTCCACAAAATCTTGTACCTCCTAAGAATATGCTGAGTGGACACATGCATCTGTGCAGTGATTTGAGAGAGGGTGCTAGGTTTGAATGTGTTCTCCAAAAGCATGTGTTGAACTTAATTCCCAATGCAAGAGTGTTGGGAGATGGGGCTTAACAAGAGATGATTAGGCCATGAAGGCAGAGTGAATGGGTTAATGCCATTATCGCAGGAGCAGGTTTGTTACCATGGGAGTAGGTTACTTATAAAAGGATGAGTTCAGCCCCCCCTTCCTCTCTCTCTCTCACACTCTCTCACCCTTCCACCTTCCACCATGGCAGAATACAGCAAGAAGGCCCTTGCCAGATGCCAACACCTTGATATTGGACTTCCCAGCCTTCAGAACTGTGAGAAATAAATTTATTTTCCTTATAAGTTACCCAGTATCTGGTATTCTATTATAGCAGCACAAAATGGACTAAGACAGAGGGTAATTTTATCGCATATGGTCACAGCTCAGACAGATCAAAGACTCTGAAGCACGAAGTCCTGGTTAAAAGCTGCACTGAAACATTTAGACTTCTTTTATTGAGATATTGTACATAGCCAGTGGAAGTGGGAATCTACTTGCTCATCTCACAGAACAACCAAATCATTAAGAAGAAAAATGAGGAAGCCATTTTTTAAAAGTCTGAAGGCTAGATAGAGTGATGTATATTGTTCCTTGGATATTACCATTATGAAATAAAAATGAAGTTCATACTTTTAAAGAATAAACTTCAAATTTGCAATTTTACAATATTTCAATATAGTAGGTGATTAAGAACAGACTCTGGAGTCAAACACTCTGGGTTCAACTCCTGACCCTGCCATCTACTAGCTCTGTGACCTTGGCTAAATTATATGACTATTCTATGCCTTAGTCTCCTTATCTATAAGGTGGGATAATGACAGGACCTAACTTTTAGGATTGTTGTTAGGATTAAATTAGTCCAGTTTCTCAGAATAGTAACTGTCTCTAGTTAACACTAGCCTACCCCAGCCCAAAGTTATACTCTCCCAGATATAGCCAGTGCTGCAGAAGTAAAACCCCAACTCCCTTCCCTCTATTCAGGACAACTCTGAAGGGCCATCCCAGCTTCAGAGCTCCTTATGGAATTGACTGAGACCTTTGTTGCAACTGCGTCACAGTTCAACTTCTCTGTCTACCCAATCCTGATTTTCTTTTATTCCTTCACAGGTGCTATTTTCAAGAGTACTCCCCAGTAAACTTTTTGGATGCAAAGATTCAACTCAGTGTCTGTTTCCCAAGGAATTTGTCATAAGAATTAGGAGCATCTGTATGCTTTTTATGTGGCTGGCCCTATGCTAGGTGCTGGGATTCTATAGTAAAATAGGAAAAAAACTGTAAATTGCAATAAGCACTATGGAGAAAATAAACAGGAATCTGTAATTAAGAAGCAGTTATTTCTTTAGAATCATCATGAGGCCTGAGTCACTGATTTTTTTTTAACTTGCAAACTTGGCATACTTTTTTCCAGCTTTAATGAGGTATAATTGATATACAAAAAACTGCACATAGACTATAATTAACAATTTATTGTATACTTTCAATTAGCTAGAAGAGAGGATTTTGAATGTTCCCAACACAAAGAAATGACAAATGTTTGAGGTGATGGATATGTTGATTAACCTGATTTGGTCATTACACGTTGTATACATGCATTGAAATATCACATAGTAGTACCCCATAAATATGTACAATTATTACGTGTCAAATAAAATTTTTAAAAAAGAAAAACTAAGGTTAAAAAATAAATAAAAGTAACAAACTATTGACACACACAGCATTTTAGATGGATCTCAAGGAATATATGCTGACTGAAAAAATTTAATCCCAAAGGTTATGTAGAATATGATTTCATTTATATACTGTTCTTGAAATGACAAAATTATAGCGATGGAGAACAGATTAGTGGTTTAAAGGGGTTCAGGAAGGGGTGGGGAGGGAGCTGAGTGTTGTTATAAAAGGGCAGCACAGTGGTTCCTTGTAGTGTGGAACTGTTCTATATCTTGACTATGGTGGTGATTACACAAATGTACACGTGAAAAAACTGCATAGAACTAAGCCACACACAAACACAAACAGTTGCATGTAAAACTGGTGAAGTCTATATAAAATCAGTGTATTTTATCAGTGTAAATTTTCTGGCTATGATACTGTACCATGGTCATGTAAGATGTTACCACTGGGGGAAACTGGATGAAGGGTACATAGGATCTCTATGTATTATTTCTTACTCCTGCACAGTAATCTACAAATATTTCAAAATAAATAGTTTTATTTTAAAAAACTGCACGTAATAAATGTATAGTGAGTTTGAACAAATCTCCACAATCCAGGTACTAAACTATTCATTACCTCCAAAAGTCTCCTTGGAGGAACTGATGTTTAAGCTGTGACCTAAAGGACAATAAGTAATCAGCCAAGTGAAGAACTTGTGGAAAGCATTCCAACCAGAAAAAAACATCGTATTTGGGTCCCTAAGCTGGGAAAGAACTTGGCATGTTCTAAGAACAGTTGAAAGGCCAGTTTGGCCAGGAGCATGGTAAATGAGGGACAAAATAGAGTCAGCAAGGAGGGCAGGAGTAGACCACGTGGGCCTATGAGGTCAGGGTAAGGATTCTGGGCTCTATTCCAGTCGGGTGAAAAGCCATCAGAGGGCTATTATCAAAGGAATGACATGATTTGATTTTTTGGTTTTGTTTTTACAAGGTCCATTGTTATTTGGAGAATGAATTGGAAGAGGGCAAAAGTAGAGGCAAGGAGAACAGTTAGAAGGCTGTAGTGGTACTATAATCAGGAGAGGACGGTGCCTTGGGTGAGGGCTATGATAAAAGCGGGAAGGAAGAGAAGACAATGTGCTCCAAATATATTTTAGAGACAGAACTAACAGAACCAATTACTCTACAGTAAATGGACAGTTAATCCCAGAGTTTGAGCTGGGAAAGAATCAGAAAATGGTTTGTTTAACTAGACAGACTCAATTCACACTGACCTCATTTAAGGTAAATTGGCTTAACCTGGAATCTGAATTAAATGGGTTAATCAAGTTCATATATTGAAAAGACACATTCTGATTCCTTTTAATGTTATTAAGCCCAACATTATCAAACTCATTAGAAACTCCAGGAGCAAAAGAGGTTGTACAATTATGAGACCTAGGGAGTGTGGTGGGAAATAAACTTTGGTACTTGTAGGACAATAGTGTTAGTAATTATATGTAACACACAGCACTAAGTGCTGTTCTATGTTCTTTTTTTTTTTTTTTTTGCTGCTGCTGACTGGTACAAGGAATCTGATCCTTGACCTTGGTGATATAACACTGTGCTCTAACCAACTGAGAAGCTGGCCAGCCTTGCATATACTTTACATCTACTAGTTTGTTCCACAATAAAGTTGAGGTAGCATTATATTATACTCATCACCCCATTTTACAGATGAGGAAATTGAGGCATACAAGGCCACATAGCTAGTAAGTGGCTAAGCCAGGCTTTGAACTCAGTCCATCTCCAGAATTCATGCTCTACACCACTAAACTCTACTGGCCGTTAATTGCTCAGAAAGCTAAATCCTTAACTGTAATCAACTTTGTCTTGCGGAATTTTATTCACATATTCAAACTATTCCGAGAGTAAGTTTTCAGACCAAGTATTATGTGCATTTACTATACAAGGTACATAACCATGTGGTACTTGTATTGAGAAAACTGCTTTAGCCAAGAAATTTTAAATTCAATTAATAACAGAGAATGAGTTTACTCACTGTAGCTGATATTTGGATTTCCTCAGTTATGAACACCTCTTCAATTTGGACTGCATCTCTGGGAAAATATCCAAAATCCTTACCTTTCTATCAAAATGAAGAACAATGATTATCAAGGAAGAGTGATCAAAGCAATAACTATTGAGCCTAATTTTGTCCCATGTCCTTGGCTTTAATCTACTTCAAATCACAAACATTAATCACAAACAACAATTTCTATCTAAAAGAAAGTGAGTGAAATCATATTCTTTTGTTATTCCGAAGAACTGCATTCATTTAAGAGAACAAAGAGCCAAACAGTAAAATGCTTCTGTTTCAAACTTCAGAAGTTAAAGCATCCCACATACTCATTTTCCTCCTTTTTCTGTTCTTTAATGACATTCCTTGCCCAGGTGGACCAAAGACTTACACTAGTAGACCTGGTGCTATGAGTCACATGTGTCCCCCGAAAGTTCATGTGTTGGAAATGTAATCCCGACTGTAACAGTGTTAAGGTGGGAAATCTGATTATGATATTTGAATGGTGGGCCTTTGAGAGGTGATTGGATCGTGAGGACTGTGACCTTATGAATGGATTGATCCACTGGGGGAGTAATGAGTTATCATAGGTGTGGACTGGTGGCTTTATAAGGAGAACATGAGAGACCTGGCCATTCTTGTCATATGATTGCCTGTGTCACCCTGTAGAGAGTTCCCACCCAGAGAAAGGACCACTCACTCAGATGTACCCCCTGGACTGTGGATTCCCAGCCTCTGAAGCTGTAAGAAATAAATTTGTATTTCTTACAAAATATTTTCTTTATAATTACCCAGTTTCAGGTATTCTGTTATAAGCAACAGAAAAAGGACTAATACACCTAGGAAATCAAAAGGCAAGGCAATGGCAGCAGTAGCCAAGCTAGATGGAGCTGTAACACATTCAGCATTTTCAGGATGTCAAAATCAGGTAAGAAGTTTAAACTCTGATGGGCCACAGATGAATTCATCAAGATAGTAAAGGTCCTTGAGTCCTTGGGGGAGGATTTGGTTCCATTCAGCTTTTCTGGGGCTTCCTTGATAACAGAGAGCCTCTTAACCCAGCTCAAACACATTTAGGATGTCCCCTGAGAGTGAAGGCTTCACACAACCTCTCTCAGGCCATTTCCTTTCTTTGTTAAAGTTTAAAGAACACATTTCTTTTGGTCCTCTGATCTAGCATCATTAAATCTCAATTGTGATTCTTCCAGCTCTCCAGGTACCACGACTATTTGGAATCGACAGACTGTGGGTCCACAGTGTGGTTCCTTTAACATATATCTTCATACGCTAAAAACACCTAATGCACAGAACTAAGTGTGCCTGAAATTTCACCCTGGCTCTACACATTAAACACTGCTTTTGTGGGGGACTATTATTTTCACACATAGTAAGCAATAAAGAATGCTTTCTTTGCCTCTTATGACACCTACCATGACATTTTCCTTACAGCTGCATTGGATACCTCTGACACATTCAAAACATAGACTGGCATTTTTAAGGCACCCTAAGCAGTAAGGGATTTGGGGAGCTGCAGAGACCAGGCAAGTAGTCAGAGGTTCAGTCATATAGTCCCTAATGGGAAGAAGCAGAATTCCAAACAGAATCTGCTCCTTCACACAGTGACCACAGAGGCTACACCAGGGAGAGATCTGATGCATATGCAACATGGAAATAGTGTATGTATCAAGTTAATCATGGTTGTTCAGCTTGGGAGTATAATCACTTCTTTTCATTATAAATCATAATTATGCAACCAAAGACACAAACTTTTTCCAATTGAAAACATTAATTAATCATTAATTTTCCTTTCAGAGAGATGATTCAGGCTTCTAGGAATTTCAGTGCACAAGTACTTCGGGCTAGAAAAAAGCTTCTCACAGTTGTTATTTTTTTCCGTAAAAAATTCATACACCTAGCTTCCCTTGGCTACCCACCTTTCTGAGGATCTCTTCAATAACAACTCAGGCCTTTATTTGCTCAGAAAAACATGTCTTTTAATCAGATTAACTAATACTTTCTAGTCTCTCCAAAACTCAACCATTGGCAACATCAAGAGATGACTGGGGTTGCCTCACCATCCCATAATCTCCAATAGCATCCCTAAAATCTCTCCAAATAAATATAAAATCTAAGTTTAAAAACTATGCATGCTATGAAAAAAATAATTTCAAGGCATTCTCTGAGCCCTCCATCCAAACCAGACTATCTTCCCAAACCTCTTTTGTAGAAATTTTGGAGCCACCACTGAACATGACCATTATTTGTTTGTTTAAATACATTAAGGGTTTTTAACATTAATACAGTGCTTTGAAATTTTTAGATTAAGTTCCTTTAGAGATGAAAAATAGTTATCCTTTGCAAGTCGGTCATTTCTTCTGCATTCAATTTTTAAGACTGGATACTTACACTTCCTGCCCACAAATCTTCCCTTTCTCCTGCAAGTTTAACATAAACAGATATCTCTTCTCCCTTAGAGAAGTTCAGGTATCGACAGTCAGGTCCTCTGTAATCTTTCATGGATGAGACTCTGCTTATTAAAGCTATATAAACATATAAAGAAACACACATACACTTTAAATTAAAGTGCTAGTTCTCCCCCTTCCACTTTGCCCTCCTCCAATCCATCGTATTTCCAGATGCTAATTTCATTATATAATTTATGGCCTCAAAAACCTATATAGACTACCCACTGCACACAGAATCAAGTCTAAGCTTTTTTGCTTGGTATCCCAGGCTGTCTATAACCCAGTCCCCCTTCCCTATCTAAAAGAACCTCCTCCCATTTCTTTATACAGACTCTGGGCTATCATCAAGCTTGTCTATCTATTGTCCCTGGAATATGTCATTATTATTTTCCAGTATGTAGAGAAAGAAAAAATAGTTTTTCTCCTGGGACCTACTGTGTTCCAGGCATTATGACAAGCACTTTCGTGTTTTTATTATATTAAATCCTCAAAACAGATCTATGAGATAATCTCATCTCAATCTAACAAATGAGCCTTTAGCTAAAGCTCAGAGAGTAGGTCATACAGCTCTGGTGGAGCCAGATTTGCACTGAGGTTCTTTTCATTTTGACATGCCTTTCCTTAGTCTGAACTTTTCTTTGTGCTCCTTCCTCAGTCTACAAATCCTTCATGCTCAATTCATATCCGACTTCCTCTATGAGGCACTCTTGATCATTACAGCCTACTCTGATTGCCCCTTCTCTGAACTTCAGTATTACCTATTATTCTTACTATGTTGTATCACTATTTACTGTTTCATATTGACCTGTCTTGTCACCATTTACTGGAATGAAAATTCCTGGAGGGCAAGAAATTTATCTTACATTTCATTTTATTCCTCTTACAAGAATAGCACCTATACCCCAGGCTCTGCATATAGTAGATCCTCAATAACGATGAATGAATCATAACTACATATGCTAGATTCAGCCGTTCAACATAGAAAGTAATATACGTACCATGTTAACTGTTGTAAGTATACTAACATGCGTAAAATAAAACATTTTGATTAAATCATGCAATTAAAGTTAAAATTGCTATAAATTTGAATGTTCCCTCTTCATGTTTTGTGTCTGGCCCTAAGGATACTAAAGGTTGTACTGTAAAGAATGAAAGAAAGATTATTATAAACCATGATCTAGTAAACTTCTCTATATATTAAATTACATATCCAAAAGTTTAAGGAAAATGTTTACTCATAAAAATGTTACTTATAAATTATTTATGTTCATACTAATAATATTTTGTATTTTTAATTTGCATGTTGCAAATTAGAAATAATTCTTCTATACTAGAAAGGTAGAACTTATTTTAAAGAAACTCTGATATATTGGGATGCACTTTATTTTGCACCGTAATGGTAATAACAGAAAATAAATCAAGTTCTTGAATAATAGAATGGAAATTAATTCTCTGTATAGTAGATAGAGGAAATTTAATATTCAATGATATAAATAAAATTATATTTATATCTTAACACTGATTTCAGTATTTTTACATAATAAATGAACACAGAAATGATTAACATTTAATAAAGTTTAGACAAAATAAATCAAGATGATTTGAAATAAAAATTTTTAGAAAACTTAGAATGCAAATTTCTGATTGTGAAATAGAAACTAAAAAGTAGAAAGACTTTGTAAATAAAGAACTATCAAGTGGTCTGATTTTTTTTATACCAATCAATTATATTTATCTTTAAAAAGAATAAAAGGGCTGATTAATTTGTTTTTGAGGTATGGATTAATATCATTATAACCTCTGATATATTTCTATATCAGGCTCATCTTCGCCCTTTGTATATTTATATTAAATACTATTACAGAATGCTTTGTGTCTAGCATTTATTTTTTATACTGAGCTATACTTTATAATTCAAATATTTTTCAATGACATTAATTATCATTTTTTATCATGCATGTCCACAATAACATTTTATGTCATTTCAGAGCCTTTTCAGTTAAACTGAAAAAGGAAGAAGAGGAAAAAATCAAACTTACTTTCACATTCCAAGTCACCACATTTTTTAAGGTCTGCCAGCAGTTTTGTAGCCACCAGACATTTTGTCACAGAAATAACGAAGAGAAGGATTCTGTGAACTCCAGCCTCCGCCATGCTAAAACAAGCAACCAGGAATCCCAAACAAGATTTAAACCAATTGTTTAGCGTATACGATATGCCAGCCAAAACAGGAGGTAACCTACTCTTTTCAGTAATAGAAGAGAAAAAAGTTTGAGGTTTTTTAAGTTTCTTGATAACTACATTTTTCTATCAGTGTGTAGACTTAACTTGAGGGACAAACACTCTCTGTTCTCAATCTGCAGTGTCAGGTATCCTGATAATACATAAGGGTTTAATAATTAACAGGAATTTTTAGTTGGACTAATGTCTTATAAAGGTAGCCAATGTAAAACTGTCTCACTTAAAGGCACCTTGCATTTGGCAGGACAGTTAAACAGGCTTCTACAAAAAGGTAATCTCTGTTAAAGACATCAGGTGGATCAGTCAACAAGTACAAACCAAGTATTTGTTACATGCAAATACCAGCTTCAGTGGAGAAAGTTTTTAGATGTATGTAGAATCAGAAATAATTTATATTAAAAGCATGGTTTTGAAATATTATGATGAAAATTATTTGAAAAAATATTCCCCTTTCATATTTAAAAACTCCTTAGGGTTACTACGAAGTTAAAACTTATTGTATTTAGTTAAGAATAATAGTTAAAACATAGTAAATACTATGTTCCAGGTATTGTCTTAAGTACTTAAGTATATGATTTGATTTAGTCATACCAACTCTCTGAGGTATGTAATATTAGTTCCATTTTTGCATGAGGAAACTGAAGCACATTGAGATGGGTTAAATCACTTATCCAGTGTCATATAGTGAGTGAAAAAGAAATTTAAATCTAGAGATTGTAACACCCCCTACTCACAACCACTGTGCTTTACCAAGAATCAAGTCATCTGCCACACAAAGTTGTCTACTCCATCTGCAGCAATACTATTGCAGAAACAGCAGGTAGAGTATTATACCAGGTATTTAAAATTGTGTGAGATTTTGTTTCCTAAATTCTTGCTTAGACACCAAGACTCCCTTGGCTCAAGACAGGTCTCTAAACAAGCCAGTATTAACAAATTGCAAGTGCAGTTGCACCCAATTCAAAGAAGGTCAATTAAAAATTCTCATCAATGCTTTCAACCAAAAACCTTTCCTAGGTATGCTACCAAACAAAAACTTGCTTTAGAAATTGACACTGAAGAGTCAAGAATTCAGACTTAGTTTCAGAATCAAAGAGCTAGGCACTGACTTCAGAAATGATTAGATCTTAGGGAGACTTTAGAATCAAGCCGAAGCCATGAGCAAGGTCACCTTGAAGAACAGACTCAAACTAGAGCAGCTAGACAGTCATACCAACTACAGCTCCTCTCAATTACACACCGTCATCAAGGCATTTATGAACAACCCTTATCCCGGAATTGATTTCAGAGAAAAATTTGCCAAAGAAATCGGAGTTCCAGAGTCAAGAGTCCAAATTTGGTTTCAAAATCAAAGATCTAGATTACATGTCCAGAGAAAAAGAAAACCTGATGAGTCCTTACAACAAGACCGGGGCAGGATATCTGAAATAGAGCTCAAGGTATAGAAGATACACAATATATCACCAACCTCACTAGCAACTCTTATTCTCTGGATCCAGTACATGTTGGACACAGAGACAAATTCAAATTCAGTGTATTTGATATCATCAATCATCAATCTGGGCCCAAAATCTCTCTCACGGTATTCCTGGGAATCTACACTTCTGCTGAGAGTACAAGCTAAATTTTCTGAAGATTTTAAACAGGACTTCAGGAGTCAGAGATCGGGTCAAGAGGCACCACACAGCCCTACTGACCCAGCCTGGCTTCAGAATTCAGTAGACCTCGAGACAATGAAAATAAACTTTAAATATATATTTTTTTTAATTTAATTTAATTTAATTTTTTTTTTTATTTATTTTTTTTATAATATATATTTTATTATTTTTTTTTATTTTGTCAATATACACTGTATATGATTATTATGGCCCGTCACC